AGCTCGGCGACGCTCAAGCCGGATGGGTAATTTGGTCAGCTTCGGCTTCTCTGTAATTGAAAAAGCCCAACAGGGAGGCATGCGCGCGATGTCATGCGAATTGTACGCTCTACACTGTTAGAAAAAAACGGTGAAAAAACGGTCCCACTGGCGTTCTAGTGGCCGGTCGCACCGTAAAAATAAACTGTTTCGCCGTTTTTATCAGATGTGTTACGGATTTCTAGTGTTAAATTAGCATAAAAACGTCGACACGGTGTTTCTTTTCACGTGCCGACCGGCCACTGAAACGTCGATAATACCGTTAACGGTAATTTGTTTAACAGTGTATATACGTGCTCAATGATCTCAGACTGTGTTATATGTTTCAAAGTTTGGGTATTTCGCCATTTATTTATTTGATTAATGTTTTCCTAAAAACGGGATTTAAGTTAGTATCATTTTGAATTTATCATATCTAGCAATGTATTGGGTACCTACTATAGATATTTTTTTTGCCACGGAATTGCTATTAAATTTCATTGGCTATTCAATGTGATCGTTTTCATACATGATCTTTCATTTACATTTCCATTAAAACAAAAGATGTGGAAGTGTTCAATTTCTTCTCAAATTTACTTTTTACGTATTCAGTTTGCTTCTGACACGCGTGTCGTGCACATAATAAATATATATATCGTGGATTTAGTTAGATCTAGACTTTTAGTTTTGTGCTCTTGAGAGAAGTGAAGGAAATATCTGTACGTGTTTTGATTCTAAACATTCATTCCACTATATGGAACTATTTTAGTGTCGTGACCTGTATTTGAAATAAACGATTTTACTTTTCGATCATAAATAATTTGCAATACTAATTTTATGTTAACAATTTTTACCACTGTATATTTTTATATTATTACAAAAACCATTTTAATAAGAAAAGGGACGGAAATCGTGTATTCAAACTCTTTGCAAACGAATGTACGTCACATGAAGCATTTTCGTCCATCTAGAACACAGTGAGGTAGAAAAATGAATTCCGTTGTTTCCAATGGAGCGGTTAAAGCGCAAAGCCCGACAAATTCCATTTAATCCATAGAAAATCGCTGATTTTATCAATCAGTCTTGTTTTGTACCGAGGCTCAACATAGCCTTTAGCAAGATGAGAAAATTGACATTGATTAAAATCCCGACTTCTCTGGATTTTGCTGAAAAAATATGGAAGAGAATGTGGGAAAATTATTTATTTATTTTTGTTCAAAAATCAATGGGACTCTTTCAAAAGATAATGCATGTAATATGAAATGTATATAATATTTTCATTGGTACCTTTTCTAAGTTTCGGTTGCGACTTTTGCAAAGAAGATCATTAACAGGTAATACGACAACAATTATATAATAATTGTGGCAAAATATGCTTGAGTCCAGATTTCATAACAAACCCGAGTATGTTTCAAGTAAAATAGTTGCATTGTCCGAAGCTCGCATGCAAGGCGTCATGCATTTCAACAGTCAGCATTATTTTAATTCGTTCAAGGTCATTTTTGAAACGTATGGAAGATTTCGCTTATTCAAATAGAATATTCATCGTCTTCTATTCACGATCATTTCATGCATTCTGAAGTTATCATCTGATGCTTCTTTACTTTAATATAATCATAATTCGCGGCTATACCGGCCGAGGTCAATATTTTTTGTGTTATCTCACAAGACATAAGCTTGGAGAACAATGCCAACCTAAATCAATGAAGAAATGACACGTCAAGGTCATTACTTCACTGCGTTCTTAATAAGAACAAAAATTCAATCTATAGTGATTGGTATAAGTCATCAAATGTAGACATCTAATATCACGCCAAGGCAATATTACTGAGTGATTAAAATCTTGCTGCCTTCAAAAATAGCCTTACTTGCTTGTGTTGAGAAATAACTTAAGTGGCGCGAGGTCAGTTAACAGTTTTCTATTGAAAATAAATAAATTCTGTTTCTAGAACCGCAGCAAATTAATGGCATGGGTTCGAGGATGGATTCATTAGAAAATGTTCAAGTTCATCTCATTATAATGTCAAAAGGCGAATGCTTTGATGATACTTCATGAATGTTAATATCTTTTATCAAATTTGAAATTTTTTCTTTAGGAGATTCATAAATCCATGGTTTGAAAAGAATTTTTATTTATGCAAATAGCATTTTTTTATTGCATCACTTAAAGCTCTCGTTGCTTTCGCTCTGAAATTTTCGACTTAATTTCAAAAAGGTTTTCCACTCAGCAGATTGATTTTGAAATTTATCTGCAAAATGCAGGACTTTTCTGCCTTTCATCAAAAAGTATTGGTTAATATTTAAAGAGAATGAAGTAATTTCATGGATGGAAAGGACGCACATTTTTATTTATTTTTTAAATATAGCGTTGGCAATAACTAGCAATGTCAAACATGCATTCACTTACAAATATTTTTCGCGTTCAGTAGCTTTGATTTAGTTTCTTAAATTTGATATTTTCACTTCATCAAGTGTGGTATCCATTTGTGTATTTAAAACTGAAATTGGTATTCGTTAACTTTTCTTTCTCTGCCACTTCGTTTATCATCAATTTTCCGTGACGTCATTAATGAACGGAATTCTCTTCCAAGCTCCGACGAACGTTCGTCTCTCAGTTCCTTCCTGCAATACTTCTTTGTTAACTTCTGTCATTCCTTTGAGGTCGGTTTTTCCTGAAGTGTTTTCAACGAAGTTATGAAACTTTTTACGAGAGTTCCATGGCAGTTTTGTTCAGAAATTCATCAAGTTGAATGCGTGCTCTTTTTTGTGCTCATTATCGATTAATCCGCAAAGGTAATTCTGCGAGGCTGCTATTAGGACACTTTTCGACGTCAAGATGAACAGAATATGCCAAATCTTTTACTTCTAATGTTCTACATAATTACAAAATTTTATGTTTCCTAACTATGAATTTAAGGATTGAATAAATAAACGATATTTATATAATGTACACTTTTAAATCTCAATTTTGCGGTAAATTTGGGGACGGGGTGACAACAGCTCTTGTCGAATATCAATCGGAAAAGCTTCAAGACTCTAATTTGCAGCATTTCCTGAATAATGAAAATCCCGGATATGTGTTATTTTGCTATACATAAACTATTAACTATTATTTGATTCAATTATATTGATTCTCTAGATTATGCTATTTCAAATAGTTTCAATAACATGCCTTTCAGTCTCAGTTTTTACTTTATTATTATTATTTTTTGAGGCACATGCAAAGAATGTTCGTAGGTAAAACGTGTAAGCCTTCTACCCTTCCTCGTTTGTACTCGGAAATAATTTCACAGCAACCGATAGATGTATTATCTGCCTCGGCATTTATTGCTGGCCAGTCGTGGCATTCACTATTGGCCCTGCCTTTGTTACCTCGCCGTGTCACAATCGAGTGCCGACTCGACACAATGTAGGAATCTTGCAACCTGCTTGCTCTATGACGTCCTGTTGTGTTGGTTTTGATCCCGTCGAATAATTCATGAAATCATTGATTCATGAAATCGTCGATTAATTCATGAAATCATTATGATTAATTCATGAAACCGTCGATTAATTCATAAAAAAAATTTGTCCAGCAGTTCAATAACTTCGGCTCTCCGGACGTCGTTTCTGGTTTATCACTCCCGCGCGCTCGTATTGCATGCGTCAGACGTTGCATACGCTGTTGCCGATGAAATGAGTTCTAGAGCTTCATCCTGAACTGGAAACGATTTTCCTAAACTAACTACCCACTTATCAGAATGACAATGAATGACTGAAAAATCACCGATAAATCATGGTTACTTTCTGGTTAATTCACTCGCAACGTGACCTGTTGGCCTTTTTTCAAAGACTGTCGATCAGCGTTCGTATTGACCCAAGTTGACATTTGAAGCGCCAATACAATGAACAGCAGCAAATAATTCACTTAATTTCCTTTTGTACTTCGGTTAAAAAGTAGCTAAATATTCTGTTCAGAATTTCCAGAATTTATTCCTTGCAAGAGAAGAGGTCGCAAAACTCTGCATGCTGAACTGTTCACGCTTCCTATAAACGTCAAGGTATAAGTTCACCGGCGTGTCATGCGAAGAAATGACTTGTAAGTCTACGTATGATACACTCCATGCAAGATCTACACGATATCCAGTTCGGTGGCCTCTTATAGCAGACGCTGTTTTTCACAAGACTTGAAGGGTAATACCGATTTTGGATTTATCAGTTTTCGAAACTCTTACAAAAGATGAAGCATGAAGTTCGGACCGCATCGAAAAAATACGGAACTTCCATGTAGGAACCGCTAGAACTGATCCTCATAAGAGTTAAATACTCGGATATTTATGGAGTCGTGGCCTATAAGCCGACATCGTAGCGGTTGCGGTGGCCACCTGCGATGATGAAACAGTCCTCTATTTATTGGCTATCGGTTCTCGGGACGAATTTTGTACGAAGATCCATGGCAAAAAACAATTAGATCAGTACTCACTGCAGGGAGTGACATAGAGCGCATTTTCTCACGTCCGTCCATCCGTCACGGACGGACGGACATGACGAGCACACTAGCACCTTTTTTTTCTATAAATGAGAAAATGCGCTTAAAATTACTTCATCAACTACCGAGTGAAGGGAATAATTTTTTAAATAGCATCCCGACGCTTATTAGGCAACATCGTTATCTAATATGCGAGTCTACCGGAAGCTGACCAAGTGAAACTATTTTAAATCTTGTAAAAAATAAGAACCAGGAAGGGAAAAACGATGAAGAGACGTTGTGTAAAGGATAAAACAAAGCGTTGAAGAGACATTGTGTATAAGAGAAGACAAATATAGGCGATTGCAATGTACGACGAATTTGATGATTAATAATATTAATAGTCCATATGATTCAAATGATGATTCAAATTAGCATATATTTAAAACGCTTGTTTTACGATAAGATTAATGTAATCTAATCGCTTCATAGTGCTTTCGATGTTCGTAGACTGATGGATGTTTTTGCCCCACAGGGCCAACTACGTCTTGTTCGGCGAACCAAGGTAAACATCAAGTTTTTAACCTTAATTATTTGTTATTTACTGAAATGCTTTACATTGCTTGCAACTTAGACTAGCATAGCGTTATTTTGTCTTTTTTTTTTTTTTTTTTGTCTTTCCTTTAGTGATGCAAACCATCTGCGGCTTTCGTTGTTTTAAGTAATGTCAAAGCTAATTTACTTTTTAACAATATTTTAATTTGCTTCAAAAAAATTGTTGATGCTTTGAAGTTGCGAAAAATTAAAATACACATTGTTATTGCGATATTTAAGAATTAAAAATTGATAATAGAAGTCCCATGCCGTTCACCATATTTGTTTTAACTTCAAAACTCTTTCCTGTCGCCACCAAAATTAAATAAATATTTATAAAACACTCGATTTATCTATCAAGGAATACGTGCATACTAAATATCTTAATCACTTCTATGAATACTTCAACTGATTCATTTTTTGTCAATCCTTCACCTTTTTTATTTTTTTCCCTGTATGGCTTCAAAGCTTGTCAATGGAGATAGAAGAAATTTATTAGTGATGTTTTAGGATAACCATTAATTTGTAGGTGAAGAAATTAAAATACCTACAATATCCTTAATATTAATTGTTGTGTGTCCGAGAAGATAATTATTGTTATCCAGAAAAATCTTCGCCATACGCACACTATCACACGCTCTAGAAGTGCTTAATCCTCTTTGTGTTTATTCATGTTTTTTCTCCATTGAAATTCCTTATTTCAGTATTACTTCTTATTATCTTACTTATTAGTCTACTTTGACTGCATGGCATCTGCAGGTTTTATGAACTTTACCCTGAAATACTGATTAATAAAATTTTAATGAATCGAACAACAGTTGTTCGTGCCCAATGTACAGCCTTTGATTTCTTGTAATTTGTAAACAATGCTTGAAGATTCCTATTGGTCCATTTCAAAATTCACATCGAATTACTACTGTTCCATAATTCTGTGCCCATTTTTTATTCTGGTTCCTCAAAACAATTTATTAAGGGCTAGTGATTTCTTTGCACCAAAACATTATTACGATTGCGAACAACGAACTAATTGTTCTCGTACTCTTCTTTAAATTATCATAGCAGTTTTCTTGTAACTTAAAATTAAGAACTTACTTAGCCTTCCTCGCCGTGCATGAAAGCCACTGTTAAATGTTTCAATTTCTCGACCGTTCTCTATCTCAAGCGTGTGGTCTTCTGCACTAAAATTCCATTTCTGTTATCATGCATGACGCTCAGGTGGATGGGCGTTCCGTCCGTGCATTTCATCACAAATATGTCAGAAAACTCGTTAGGTTGCAGCCTCTTTTCAATTTACAAGAGAGCCTCGCTGCCTCTGCTTTTGCAAGGAAATTTTTTTTAGCTAGAAGGATTTTTTGAATTGCCGTACGGAGGAAAGTTTCTAGCTCGAATCCGCATTTTTCGAGCACAGCATTAGACTTTAATCGAGTGAACCATATTGGCGGGTGGAAAATTTTCCTACCTAGAGTATGAGAAATTCGGAGTCTTGATAGTCCATTATTGGGACGTTTATATGGCAGGATGCTTACGGCCATAAATGATCGTGCAAAATGAATTTTGTTATCCATTCAAACTTAACACCTAATATATTTAGTATAAATTTCTTGTAAGTGAGGTTGAGTATTAAGATATTAACGAATTTTATTTCGTTCTCCTGAAAGAATAAAAGAGCAACAATTTTCAGAGAAATTTTCAAGCGAGCTTATTTTATGTAGGTTTAAATACTAAAGAACTATTACTACACTTGCATTTGTGTTTCGTCAATATAAACGTAACAAATTACGTTGGATACATAAAATAGAATCAACGATTGATGCCAGTGAATGACTAATTCTCTTATTACTTCTGAACGGGATTAGTTTTACTTCTTCGATGCACCAGTTTAGAACTAATGCGTATCTTCCATTATTTTCGTGCGATGTGAAGGGAGTTGCCACTAACTACGTTGCTTCCACTAATAGCAACTTTCGTGGCACCCACAATACACTGAATTGATAAGTGCATAGCCTTCATAACCATCAATGCGATATCGACAAGACGTTGCTTACCTTGAACAATACTCATGTTTACTCACGAATTTTATGTCGACGAGGTAATTGAGGGGAAAATGATTTCTCGCGGGTGCCGTGGTGGCAGCTTATTTTGAGTGCTAGCGTCTGTGTCTTAATTAGCCACAAGCTAAAAGTGTTAAACTTTATAAAACATGAATTTAAAAAGGCAGAAACTAACTCTAGGTTTAAACGGAATATGCCTGCGAGCTTTTACTTAACATTCATAGAAAGTTTCACTTCGAGTTTACATCGTGAATAATAATAATAATAATGCCGGAATGAAACAGATGTGCAATATTTTAATGAAGTTCATAGAGCCCTGGGATCGAGTAACTATATCGATGGATAGGAAAATGTTAGTTCCTTTACTTGTACCTAAAACTGAAATTCCCACGTTATTCGTACTTTTCGACACGACGCAGACAGCCTGGAACAGGAGGTTGAAAAGGTGGACATTTTCCACGGCACGATCATGACACAAGATCTTCTCCCATCGGAAGTTTTAACGATAGAAATGTCTGTACGACGAACAAAAAACGGCCGCCGGACAGCTTTTTAAAAAAAACTAATGGCCCTTGCCGACCAAAACCCGCGCCTTTTCTGACCGGTGAAAATATTATATTTTACCAATGATAGTCCTCGTTCTAAATTATTTCCCTTGGGCCAGCACTAAAAACTTTCAACATATACATGGAAAATTCAGGCTTTGCTAATAAAAACCTTTGCGTCATGGTTAAAAACTCTGGTTTCACATGAAAAACTATTGGTCTCTAAAGAAAGACCATCAGGCTCAGAGAAGAGCCAATGGCTTCAGAGAAAAAAAACCTTTCCATGACGAAGGAAACGCTACTGAAGCTCCCGATGTTGCAGCGTTTTTCTTTTGCGTGACGTGCGCTTGTCAGGCTTGTGAAGGCAACCTTGTCGTTGGCCTGACGAGGCTTGGGGGCTCGCGCAAAAATTTTTGAGCAGAACGGGAATTAAATGCTGTCCCGCTTGCTGGCTGCCCCGCACATCCTAAAAGAAAATTGCATTTTTCTTTTGTCATTATAAGGCAATAAAAAATTATCATCACACGAATAGCCCGGGGTTTTTGGATTCTTGGTTAGAAAATAGATATTTTACCGAATTCTATGTTCGATGCTATACAAATTACAATGTTTCGGTTTGGAGAGGTACTTTTAAATTAATTTTTAATTCTACAAACATATGATAGATAAATAACTTTCAGCGCATTTGAAATTTGTGAACAGCAGTTCGCCTATATTTTATCAGCTTCAGGCTTTCAGACTTGTGCGTGAATCTGAAATCCTTTGATCCTTTGGGGTGCACCACAGCTCGTAAGAAGGATGCAACACTTCTCTAAAATCTATATAAAAAAGTTGAATGAAGACATGCACTGGAGGGGAAGACTAAAATGTATTAATCCAAGCAATGAATATTATCAAGTTGAGTCTTAAAGCAGAAGAATATTCACGACACCTCGATTTTAGTTACGTCTATCTACTACTTGGTTGAGTCACCCATGAGTGTAGGCGGTTGTTGCAGTAGTGATGATGTCACATTCAGAAAATAAATGTCTCAAATTGTCTAAAAAGTGAGATTTTGTTTCTGCGCGTAGTACTTGGTGGTTGGGCTAAAATGGGTAAAGATAACCCACACAAGGGCAAAAACTGCCTCACTATTTGGACAAATCTCCCTCATATTTCTGAGTGAATGGGACCAGGGGTGCCCAGCAGGTTGCTCCGCCAAGTAATTACTGGCCTGGAAATGAAGCGCTTGCCTCAGGAAACCAAGCTACTATGAACCTTCATTCCCGTCCCGACTTCCTGAGAGCTTTTCTGATAGTTTACATTTTGCTTTTTATCTCGACTTCCGATGGTTTAAATTCCATGTCCTGCCCAATGATTCTCAGCTTGTCGACCTTCCTTCTTTGGTTTGAATTTCTGATGGTTTAATTTTCATGTCCTACCTTATAACTCTCAGCTTCTTCAGTTTGAATTTCCTATTGTTTAACTTTCAAGTCCTTCCCATTAATTTTCAGCTTCTTTAGGTTGAATTTCCGATGGTTAGATTTTCATGTGACCAATGATTCTCAGCTTGTCTACCTTCGTTCTTTAGTTTGACTTCCCGGGCGCTTAACTTCCAATCTACTCAATGTATCCTTTTCTACTCGTACCTCATATTTCAGTTCGACTTAACGAGGTTTTTACTCGCATGGCGGTCTCGCGATCTCGAAAAGCAGAGTCGAATATGACAGTATTTTTTATTCATTAGTTATTTCATGTTTGTCGTCAATTCTGTTTATTATATTCTAAAGGATGTTCATTTCGTGTATCGTGGAAGTTTGTGTCGAATAAAATAATCACACAGGACAGGCGTCACTCGTTACATTGTGATAATTGCTTTCTGTGATTTTAGACTACTACTTATCATATCTATTATTTGTTTTGCCAAAGAAAATCATATATTCAATTCTAAATTAATTTTGAAATTAGTTTTAATAAATTATCACCTATTCCAGGTGCGATAGCTCAATTATATATACAGGTGAATTACTGTAACGAATCAAAAGGCGTCTGATGACGAGTTCGGCAGATTTAAATTTCAGAATGATAGACGATTTTTTTCATTAATTTGAATATCAATTAAAATTCAAATTTGTATCATAATTTCGATCATTTGCTTACGGAGCAATTACAAGTAAATTTTACTTCCCGGAAAAATGGAGCATTGCAGTTGCAAATTAGGTCGCAAATTTCTGCAATTCTGCCACATAAGCGGTGGTCAGTTGTTGAGAAATCCAGAGTTGTACGTTAATAAATACTTTATTTCGCTGTGTGTTGCTTTAGTATTAATGGAATAATTGATGGAACAAGTTACATTTGATCCATCGGAGTCGGTGAAAGCCATGATACATGCTTATTGCCATGCATCAGTTTAATACATCAGAATTTAACACAGAAGTGGGGCATGTCAGTTAATTGTACCGGCAGGATAATCCTCTGGAAAGAAAGCTTACGGGACTTCAAGAACCTCTTATTCTCATTATATATTGTTGAGTTACATTGTGTTGAAAATCACTTTGTTTTAAAAACCTCGTCGTCATGTCTCACTCCAAAACTTTCAGAAGGGCCGGAGTAACTCAAGTTGTTGTGTCGCGACTTGAGTTTCCGTCACGAAAGCACGAACTAAAACCACACGAAGATAACGAGACACGAGCAAAGTTTGAGCAGCTCGTGCCGAAGAGGGGAAGCATAAAGTTGAACTTCGGAAGCACGGAGAAGGGTCCTGAACGAGGCTGGGGGAGGTGGGGAGTGGGGAATATCGCGGGGCTGGAACGGTCAGCTTTAAGAGAACATTCCTGGAACTGCGTCCTTAGGGCCACCCTCGCCGTGCGCGGTAAACCCATGCTGGTGGCTCGCCATACCCTCAGCTGATCCTCAGACTCTCCGTTCAATTTGACTACCTTCAGAGTAGAAAAGTTACAAATAGTATTTGTTCCAACGTTCCACGAATTATCTCACCCGGTCAATTAGTCCCATTGTAGTTTAATCATCCTATCGATTGAAGTGTTTGAAGTCCTACGCTCATGAGCTTCGTGCATTTATTCTGCATTAATAATTTTCCCTAAATCTTCGGTTAGACTTTGTCTACGTTGGTCAATAATGTTTATGGAAAATATGCGCTTAAAGAACTTAGATATTCTAATATTAAATGAGACAAAAATATGATCGGTAAGATCCAAGTGATGAATCCTCATATGGCATATTTATATTGTATATTATGGCTTACCTATATGACGTGATCAGGTCATATATTAGCATTCTACGGATAGGGGTTTTCAGTAGTCAGTGCGATCACGTATACTATGCTTCTATGGAACAGACTGATAAATTTCTACGTAACGATACTTACATGACATACATAACAGTGTGTTCTCAATTCCTGCGTGTTGATGCATATGGAACAATAGAAATACTGGAATACATCATCTATTAATTATAAGATTGCCATATCTGAATGTTATTATGAAAGATAATTACCGTAGAATCCCATAATTTAAAAGTTATCTTTTTTTTGGCTGGCAAAGAACGACACAAATGCATATTATTTAAGGAAACCAGGGAACTTTAATGTTAATGAGCTATATATGTTGCGGGCGAGGTAATACGCGCAATTTCTGGTGACGTAATACGCTTTCATTGCTGACGAGGTGATACACTCCATTACTGGCGAGGTAATACGCTCCATTTCAGGCAAGCTGATACGTCATTACTGACGACGTAATACGCGCTATTGCTGGATGAGAATGACGCGTAACGCCTAATTGCTGGTAAAATTAGTTCATCGGGCGGACTCTTCTCTCACGACTAGCGTGTTGGACAGGTTTCGTGAACACAGCTTCTCATTTACATTGCCAAGACAACAACCTAGAGATCAATTTCAATTAATCAAATCATTATGTAATGAAACTAATAACGACGATTTTTTCACTTGTTATAGTTATAAATTTATTTTTTAATTGATCTATTGACCCTCGTATATTGTACGGTACATATTTTGTTCTCAAATATGATTACGCGATATCGTCGCGTTCGTCCCTCTCGAGGGTGTGACCGAACAGCGAGTTCCGGCGGATGCGTAGCTACGCCAGCCGACGACTGCTGCGTCCAGTGCGCCGCTTGCGCCTGGTGCTGAATAAGCGTCGGTGCGTCGTGTGGTCCTGGTGCTGAATAAGCGTCGGTGCGTCGTGTGGTCCTGGTGCTGAATAAGCGTCGGTGCGTCGTGTGGTCCTGGTGCTGAATAATCGTCGGTGCGTCGTGTCGGTGTAGCATCGCAGTTTTATCGTGTTCACAAGTGTTGGTGAAAAATTACGTTCCAAAAGCTTTTTCCGTCGTTGGTATTCATGCAGTTACCACTGGCGAACGTCACGTTTCATTGTCAAGTCATGCCTACACACTAGAATCCCAAACTCATGTATTGATTTCGGTTATTCAGAAGCTAAAATTAGAACATCGTGGCAAAAACAGGAATTTCTACTTATGCCCTCCAGATTGTGATTTGACTGCTAAATTACAAAATATACAAACAAATTTTATTGGCCAGGAACAGGAATGAAAATGTATTCTGCTTTCACAATCTTTCAAAAATTTAATGGAACTGAAACGTTCAGTTGTTCATCAAAGTGGAGATATGGATACTGATTAAAATGCACGTTATACGTCCATGAGTTAAAAGTAGCAGTTTAGGTGAAGGAAAAAAGAAAGCTGATATTCTCAGGGTTTGAAAGGAAATAAGCTTATGGTGAAATACTTCTGGGAACTAGAATTTACAAAACAATTGGAGATAGGAGCACGAATTCTATATTGGTACAAGTGATAGCCTCGAATTTTGCGATTATTTCTCAAATTTTTGACCAAAGGCCGTTAGTCAACCGTCAAGGCACCATGAAAATTTTATCACACGACGTATTTTTCGAAGCATGGAGGGCGTTTATTTAAGGAGAAACGCGAGTGACTCTTCCGGAGAGTGAGTGTGAAATTTTTTATGTTACTTTGTTCAACGCGCAGTTATTAAAATTATTCCATTTCATAGCTGGGAAATTTTATTTCCTCGTAATAATTGAATTTGTGGACATCTAAATTTAATGTGCATGGTGTAGAATAATATTATTGAGAATATCGACTTTTACAAGGCTTTGCCTACAGTTATCATGCACAAATTATTACTTTTGCATTTATTATTAGATTATTATTTCAAATTCTATCTCAACTCTCGGCAACGTCGATTATTTTGATTCTCAGAACCTATTGCTTAGTTTCAAAACTTTAGCATCAGAAGTTTTTTCGGACTCAACTTCTCTTCTAGTTGCACAGCTAAGTTACAAATAATAACTTGAGAAATTGTCTGGACCACTCACCAGCCACTTTCTTTTTATTGTAAGTATTTTACTCGATGTGGTGAGGTTGATGCGGACAATTCATGCACTATCTCACCACTTCTTCCAGTAATCATCTTAGTATGTAATTTTGACCAGTAGCAATTATATTGTAGTCTAATTTCCCTGAAAATTAATCGAAATTTCCTGTGAATGAACATTTATACTGCTATTATCAATCGATTTTGGATTGCGTTCGGGTTTCGAAGATGAACCAGTCCTGTAAACGTATAATTTCCCTAATATGAGGAGTTCATATGTAGCACTGCGATAAATTATATTCGTATTAATACAAATTTAATGCAATTTTATCTAAACTGGATAAAGCAGTTGAAATAATTCAGATTCTATCGCGTAAGTTAACCATTCTTGTAACAATCGTTTTGTTACCAGACGCATCGTACCCGTGGGAGGTCGACCAGACGGGCAGCGCGCGAACAGCACTCCAAATGCTGCTCTTGGGAGTAACCTTGCTGCTGCTGCTGCTGCCGCTGCTTCTCGACAGCAGCAGCAGCAACAACAACAGCACATGCTTCAGCAGCAACAGCAACAACAGGTTTCTCTGCAGCCTCCTCCATCTCAGCAACAGCACGGTGGCCATCCGATGGGTGGGGTTCCTCCTTCTCACGTTTACCAGCAAGCTGCTGGCCACCCGAGTATGTCTTCGCACGGCAGTGGCGGTCCTTCAGCGACCAGTTCTTCTATGGTGCCGTCGCACCTACAACCACCCACATCCCAGCACCAGCAGCCCCAATCTCTACCAACAGTGCAGCAACCCCAGCAGCAATCCCAACAACAACAACAACAGCAGCAGCAACAACAACATTCGGTGCCCCCTAACACCAATACCCTCGGGCACCACTCACACCCGAGCAACAGTTCCGCCACTCCTGCGCACTCCTATGCTGCCGCCACCAGCAGACAAGCTGGTTCCTCCGCACCTCCCATGACCCTGGCTGGCAGGATGTCATCTAACAACACCGTTTCTTCCAATAATTCAATGTCCACCTCCTGTCCCCCTTCTGCTTCCAATGTTGGCGGACTTACTAACCAAAACGGAAAGCCTCGCTACGCCCCCAACTCCACGCAATCCCGCAAAGAACAAGTTAGAGAGTAAGTATTACTCAAAGTCCAACAATTTTCCGACTAAGCATTTGAATGAATTATTGTTCCAGATCATTCAAATTAAATAGTATCGAGTATTTATGAAATACTAACCAATAAATATTTTATAGATAAAAAAATTTAATCGAAACTGTTATCACGGACGATCTTTGCTTCAAAACTCCTGGTTCTTTAAATATATCAGCATTCAAATCATGTATGCAGCTTCTCATCCCTTTCATGCTCGCAGTCCGTTAACCCTCTCACGCCCACAGGCCGCATGCCTACTCATGCCCACAAGCCATCAACCTTCTCATTCCTACAAGAAATCTACTAGTACCTTCACATTCTAGTTCACCCTTTCTTATGGCTGCAGGCCGTAAACTTTCTCTTACGGCCGTCAACCTTCTGTTCTGACCGCACAAGAAATCTACTAGTACATTCACATTCCAGTTCACCCTTTCTTATGGCTGTAGGAAGTTAACTTTCTCTTACGGCCTTCAACCTTCTGTTCTGACCGCAGACAGTTAAGCTTCTCTTGTGGCCGCAGGTTCGTGAAGAAGGAGACCCGGGAGTTCTTTGGCCTGGACGAGGGCTCGGAGGAGAGCCAGCGTCAGCGGTGGGAGGAGAAGCGGCGGCGGCTGGCGTCTCGCAAGTACGGACAGCTCAAGGAGAACTCGACTTCGCTGTCCGCTTCCCTGTCCGCGTCCGCCGCTGCCGGCTTCGGCGTCGGTGTTGGTGGCAGGTGAGGGCATTCGTGGTAAGCGTGCAGCAGACATGATAGTTCAGTGAAGGTAGAAAGAAAATAGCGATATCGGGAGAGAAAAACTGTGGGCGGTAGTAATTTGACCGAATCTTCCTTTCTCTGGATTATGGTGAACTTGAATTTGATCTATTTTGAAGCGATCTGAATGATATTATGAACATTTACGATTATTGCACTGCCGCAAGCATTGACAAAATTTGGTTATTTCGCATCGTTTTAATTTAGGACACTTTAAAAGAATTAGATTAGATTAAGTAAGGTTAATTTGATTCCGTACTTACAAGTAGCCTATCCAGCCAATTCAAACCGTGCCTAAAGCTCGATTAAACATATAACAAAATTATGGCAAGGCTCGCATCCCCGCAACGATGTTACTTTTAGCGTTAATGAGCTTTTCTGAAAATATGGATGGTAATTTGAAAAAAGGGGTTGTTTTATATCAAGTATCTTACTGCACAATTCAGTTCTAACTGCTGTCTCTAAAAATACATCAAACAATTTTGAGACCTTTCATAAGAAAGAAGACATATGCGGATGTTAACAAGTTTGATGCTTATTGTACAAACTCGTAACTTGTTCTTCGTGGTCAGATGCGCCGCGTCCTCCGCCACCGTGGCCGTGGGAGGCGCCAACAGTAACGCGGCAGGCGGCTACCACAACCACCACCATCACCACCACGGCCACTACGCTGGAAACTCCTTCAATAATGACTTCCATTCACTGAGAGACGTGAGTCATGCTGCTGCCTTCCATTCACTGAAGCCCCTTTCACACTGGGCGGGAAATCCCGCCGGCGTGGAAAAAACCGCCGAGAGATTTCCCCGCCTAACGTCAGCGGACATACAAAATGTGCACTGCTATTCACACACGACGAATTTTCACGCCTGACGACCGCGTGTGTCAAGCTAAAACTGCGGCGGGATTTCCCGCGACAGTTTAGCTTGCAATGGTATTCAATGTATTCTTTCACACGGGGCGGTTTTTCACGCCGCTACCTAGTGTGGTACAGACAGTGAGTGTGTGAGAGTTAAGGTTTTTCAATAGCTCTCTCATCTGCGTGCTGTTGTGGGTCAATTTGACTTACACACAAGACAATAGTTCATCAAAACTTTCGGCAGACATTCGACAATAATTGAAGAATTTTACTTCAATTTTCCAAATAGTGTGGCAAATTCACCTTCTTGTGGCCTTAATTTTACTATATTGTGAATCCAGCACCTCGTTTTCTTTCTTTGCTGTCTTTTATGCAGCAAATATATAAGGAGAGCATTCTTTTCTTTGCTATGAGCAGCCATTTATAGATATAGTTCTCAAAAACTGAGGACCACTTTTACGGAGAACAGCGCTGCAAGTCTGATAGATACAGCGTGAAAAACCGCCTCGTGTGAATGATAGCGCGGGAAATCCCGCGGCGGTTTTTTTTCACGCCGGCGGGATTTCCCGCCCTGTGTGAAAGCAGCCTGAGAGACGTGAGTCACGCTGTTGCCTTCCATTCACTGAGAGACGTGAGTCACGCTGTTGCCTTTCATTCACTGAGAGACGTGAGTCACGCTGTTGCCTTCCATTCACTGAGAGACGTGAGTCATGCTGCTGCCTTCCGTTCACTGAGATAATTCATGATATATGTTTCATAATCTGTATGTTTGTTTCGCCCATTAGAGTGAGACAAGCGTGGTCAATAATCGTACTTTTTCATCTGTTTCCCGTTCCTTTAAGGAATAATTATACTCGTGAATGCCAATCAATATTTGTTATTATTGGTACCTAGTAATATTGCTTGCATGATTGCATATCTGGAATAACAACGAGTACATCGTATATATTCATCCCAAAAAAGTCAGCTAAGACTTTTGTTCAGGGTTTTTTCATTTCATTCCGTCCAGCTTTCTTTTGATTTTGATAAAAATTTATTGGACTTTAAGTAATAAAATCAAAATAACTTGTAATGTAAACGCCGGTGGTTTATTTTTGCTCCCGATAGCGTCTTTATTCAGTCTTTTAAGATAAAGGAGTGGATTTTATTATCATTCAAGAGGGTTTTATGTCCTTTTTGGTGTTGATTTTCTATATATGCGTATGAATTTAACTGATAATCGAGCTTTAAAATTGAACATGACATGGCAGCTTCCCGAGAGCGTGTGGCGCGAGAGTGGCGACTATGGCGTGTGGCCCAAGCCACCGCCACATCGCGGCAAGGACTCAGTGGCTAAGATGACATGGGATGGCATTTCCTATATTGTGGCGGTGAGTAAATATTGCTCATATCTGACGCTTAATGAATACTACTTATATAAGATAGGTAACCTTCGAACTCGAATAAGCTATCATAAGTTTTCACTAGACTCAATTGTGAGTGTCGAGTGTCAGATGTTGATGGATGTCCAAGAAATACGCTTTATTTTTTTCGGAGCGAAAAATTTTGTCAATTAAGAAAGATATTCATTTGGTATATAAGTGCAGAACATCTAAATATCAAAATGCAGTAGATTACAAAATCACATTGCTGAAAAAGGACGTTTAACAAATAATAAATTTTAACGGAAATCCGTGAAGACAGGCTCACTGTCACCGGCCTTAGAGGTCCTTCCATTTTTTTAACCACATCAACGTGAATGTGATCTAACCACGCACAATAATGTATATACATATACCAAGAAATGAACTTTCATGATCTTTAGCACTATTCAGGCGGCAGAAGCCAAGCAACGACACTGAATATCCAAAGAACTAATTGATCGCGGAAACTTGGATGACGAACTAGAAGCCGGTCAAAGCGTCTCTTATTGCAGTAATTGCAGTAACATTGTTCACTGAACTTGTCTCCCTCCGCAGACGTTTTCAAAGCGTCCCTCATTGCAGTAACATTGTTCACTGAACTTGTCTTCCTCCGCAGACGGTGTTAAAGCTGTCTCTTATACACATCTAGATGTGTATAAGAGACAGGTGTTAAAGCGTCCCTCATTGCAGTAACATTGTTCACTGAACTTGTCTTCCTCCGCAGACGGTGTTAAAGCGTCCCTCATTGCAGTAACATTGTTCACTGAACTTGTCTTCCTCCGCAGACGTTGTTAAAGCGTCCCTCATTGCAGTAACATTGTTCACTGAACTTGTCTTCCTCTGCAGACGGTGTCAAAGCGCCGTGCCAAGAGCCAGGCCTCCGGCACCCCGGGCGGGCAGTCGAAGAGCCGCAGCTATGCGCCCACCAGCGTGCACTCACTGGACAGCCTCGCCACAGACCGCCTCATCTCGCACTCCGACTCCTCGCCAGCCTCCTCCTCCTCTTCTGCCTCGACCCAGCCCACTGACCAGTACACTGCCGAACTGCTGCAAGAGGAGGTGCTATATTTTCCTATTTTCCTTTTGTAAAGATGCACTAAATAATTTGCTTCAAGAGGTGCATTAAATAATACATAGTCCAATTATTTGCTAAAGACAAAATGGTTGCATTTTGTGCGCACAAATTATGCTGACGTTGCAGTTTCTTTTCTGCTACTTGTCATAGGAAATTTTTCTGTTTAGCCTTTTCAACAAAATAAGATACTCTAATAATTTGGTTTGCCCCAAGAAGATTATGTCCTCAGGAGGATATAAATGCAAAAAATATTGCATATTTTCCCCTAATAATTTTAATTATACAGGCTTGATATGTCATAATAATGTTCCAAGATCTTTTATTACGACAATCGTTCTTTATTTCGCTCACGAGTTACCGTTGTATCTCATCTGTCGACGTTTTCCTCAAAATAAAATTGTATTCCATATTTTATGAACAAGATAATTCATATATCGGCAAAATTTATCCTGAATTAATTCCTTATTTCTTGTTATGAGCATACGTAATTTGTTTCTTTTTTACCTTCACTAATGTTGTGCTGTGGACAGGTTTTCTTTGACGGGAAAGTCGCCAGCACTCCAGAGGGCGACGCCGCTAACGATAGCAACAAAGAAGTGAGATTTAGTTCATCCATTCATGAACGTGTCTCATAATTTAGTATGTTTTCCTCATGTTTTTAAAGCGAAACAATCAGTTTCTTGATTATTTTAATAACTGCACGATGGTTTTAATCTAATGAATGTCGTGTCTTCGGCCCTGTAAACGCTACTTAGCAGGAATATGCAAGGCCGGGGTTGTACAGGTTTTGAAGCATTTCATGGCTAATATAATGCAAAAATTGAATAGTTATATTACAAATATTGAGCACATTTATCAGTTCTTGTGATAGCATTTTTCTCTCATACTACGGACAGAATGATTTTGATAAAAGAAGGGCCTCATTTTTTTAAATTATGTCAGCTGCAATATTTATTTTTACAGATATTGCGAAACTGTTGTGATATATTGAATAACTTATGAGCAACCAGCTGAGATAGGATATACACAGCGAAAAGAAATTATGCCAAGCACGAATTACCTGACCCTTATTGATTAATAAATAATTAGTCTTTTCCATCCCTCATCACCTTTCAAAAAACGTTAATTTTCATGGTTTGTGATGACATCGCTCCTTATCATCTTTATGTTGTTATTCAGGGTGGTAAAAGATATCGCCCATTACCTCCGTTATGTTGCAGGGTGGTAACTCCGGCAAGTCTCACTACCACCCGACACTGAACCAGCACGAGTGGTACCGGCCCTCCACGGCGGCCACCTCGACCACCACTCCTGGCAGCCTCTCGTCCGCTGCTGATGGCCTCGATGTCGGCATGGCGTCCTCCAGTGGCCGGTGAGCGGCCGAAGCTACATTTAAATATTTAACATCAAATCATCAAATTCAAATATTAAATATTTTTAACGGCCACTGGCGTCCTCCAGTGGCCGGTGAGCGGCGGAAATTGCATTTAAATATTTAACATCAAATCACGAAAGTAAACAGTTAATTTTTAAATAAACTGTGCAATTGTTTAAGAACAAGCGATTGTTTCTGCTTAATGTAGAAGCTGAAGACGTAAATAGAATCGATGTGTTACTCAATAGTTGAGCGTTTTAATTTATCAGCCTGCGATAGTATCAATCTTGATCAATATCAGTGCCATCTTAGTTAATATCAATGCTATCTTGATGGAATATTCCAGCGCATATTAAAATTTTTAAGGTGAAGAGAGTTAATTTATATGTTAAAGAATCTAGACACTCTTCATAACTTGAAAACATAAGTTTTTTTACTGTTTTTGCGTGAATGAATCTTTTATCGTTACATCATACTGAAAATGTCGTTGATTTTATAGGAGTTGATGAAGGCAGAGATCAACAGTTGATCAGGATTGCAGGATATATGGCTGCAGGATTGCAGGATTTATGGCTGCAGGGTTGCAGGATATATGGCTGCAGGATTGCAGGATATATGGCTGCAGGATTGCAGGATATATGGCTGCAGGATTGCACATTTCTTGTAGGCTGGAGGCGCGTGTGGGCAGATCACGCATCTGGAAGCGCATCCTCGACCACTGCTTCGACAACTCAGACCGTCGTCAGTACGGCATGGGCGTCTCAGGCCGCCTCTTCGGCCGCTCCTTCAGACACATGAGAAACAGAGGCAGCCTGCACAGACACGATGTTAACCAGGTACTATACTTCTGTCCTTGTATTAGTTACACTAGAACTAGTGTTAGTAATTGGGCAACATATCATGATTTTAACAACTTATATGGTATAGAGAATGCAAGTCTTAGTTTATGAGACGGAAAGGTTACAGTTGCAGAGGCGCTAATGCCGTCACCCAATCCAACAGAAGGCTCGTAGCTATAATATACCAACTCTTTTTTACAATCTGATCTCTCGTCCGAGAAAGACCACGTGAACAAGACATGTGCAGACTTTACTTGAGGCATTCACGCCTTAAAAGTTCAATTTAATTTTCTTAACCGGCACTAAAAGGTTGCTGTCAGAAAGACAATTTTCCATCCACAATTTTTGTGCAGGTGAAGCACCAGCTGGACGAGATGGAAGACTACAGACCTTACTTCACGTGGTGGGTGAGTTTCGTGCAGGTTGCCGTGTTCCTGCTGTCCATCCTCTGCTATGGCATCGCCCCGTACGGCGTCAGCGTCAAGCAGCAGAGCGGGCAGGTGAGACGCCCATGCAACTTTCTGATGCCCGAGAAATTCACGTATTGCCCCTTGCTGTTTAGACTCATATTTAAAATTCAAATTTGATATACGTTTGGTTCGTGAGCATCAAAATCAAGAACAATATCAAAAAAATTTGCTATGCATACGTATTTTTCAACGAATATATGTAAGAAACTGTTTTATAACACGATAGTCTGTCCATATTAGGCGAAGCTTGATTATTATGAAAAGTCATTCATACTAGTTACCTCAATTTTGACTTTCACTCCATGCTGCCATGATTGAAAATTGATCAGTTATTGAAGCGATATGTTGCCCCGCTATTGTGTTCCTAATACCGGATGAAGAATGCATACTGCATAAACTGTGCTGAATTTTAAGTGATTGTTGTGTCAAGTTAATGAAACCAAGAACTAGAACTAAGCACTTGCTGATACCGTTTCCTTCTTTCTGGATTCAGGTGCTGATGGCAAGCTTGTCTATCCAGACTGTCGCCTATTGGGAGCCAGAGAACTTCTGGTGGGGGCCGAGAGCGGTAAGTGTTATAGGTGGCAAGTACTAAAATAAATAATACTTCTGGATACTCTTAAAATATCGCATGCAGTAAAATACTCTACAGTATTTGTAGCATTTAATATAAAATGGAGGTGTATCTAGTAAAGGCGTTCAACGATGTCATACTCATTGTCCAACTGTTGTCTGAGCTGCGCTTCATGGTCATCAGTTTGCTAACATGTAGTTGATTAATTATTCCAGTAACACTACTTAACTCTAATAATTGAACCATTTTTTCAATTCGGCTCAAATTTCGGAAATAAGAGCACATGAAAATAAGATGACCATATTTTGCAGCACTTTTACTTGCATCTAGATTCTTAAAATGAGCCATCAATTTATTCTTATTTCTTATTTAATTCATAACGCATTTCATAATTCTTTCCGCAAGTTATATCTATTTCGTTTATTAAATTTTATTGTTGTCCTCAGGCCGATCTGATCCATCTGGGCGCAAAGTTTGCGCCGTGCATGCGTAAGGACGAGAAAATTTTCCGCGACATCGAAGAGCAGAGGAGGTCGGAGCGCGAGACTGGCTGTTGCATCAGGAACGACGACTCGGGCTGCGTCCAGTCTTCCAGGAGGGAGTGTTCGGTGAGAGAATCTTCCGTATTTTTACAAATTGGTAATAAAGGAAACGCCGTCATTAAAACTTTATTCGGTAACTTATTGAATGTCTTCTTGGTAATTTACATATATATTACAGATAAAATTACCTTTGTTTTATCAGTGCGGATTCTTCAGAGCCTGACTTTCATCTACTGCTGAAATTGCAAATTTCTGCGTACCAGACTGCATGGAAATTCTTACTGAAACACTCGTAATGTTTGGTAAATTGTGCCAACTTATACTGCCATTTACCCAATAAAATTGGTTGTGAGTCTATTCCTGCTCTTTTTATTATTCTACATTAAGTCTATTTATGCCATTGTTGTTATTCTTCTGAATTAAATTCGGCATATCCTTTCACCTGTAAAATTTGAAGGTAAAATACAGTGTTTCAAATTACCAGCTAAGTAACATTTCTACACTCAGAGATGCGACCAACAATTATGCTGAGTAATATGCCATGAGCATCAAGCTTGGTAAACATCGTCGTGTCTCCATACGTTTAGCGATGTTCGTTTTTTCCGCCAAGAAAGACGCCTCGTCTTCGTGCCATTTTCTTTCTACCATTTCTTTCGACAGATGTAACGTGAACGTTTAAAAAGTGGAAGACCGAGAACTAAATTTTTCCATCTATAAACATACCGTATATATATAGAATGAAAGAAGCAATATCTCGTCAATTATTATCAGTAACATAGTAATATTGCATTAAATTTAAGTTTAACAATTTCCTTTAGCATTTGCAAATTTAATTCTTACACACCACCAAAGGAATTTACCGTTCCTATACGTACAGTAGAGGAAGAGTTTATCAACGTAGATTAACGACACATAGTTTTCTCCTTCGAAATTTTCCAAAAGTCAATACGTAGCTGACCTGAAAGTTAGTTCACCTTGTAATTGATCATATTCTCTTGTACTAGTAACATGAATTTTTCTCCCTGCCTATTACTATGTATGCCAGCTGAAGTGTTATTACAAAATTTATTTGTGATAAAAAGAAGGTAATCTACCATGTTCTTAATCGGAACATGTCGTCGTCCGAAAAATGACTTGAATTATGTCATTACCAGGACCAAAGTTGAAACTTAAGTATTTTAATATTTATTTAAAGAACGTAAAGATTTATTGAAATAACATAAACATTCATCGAAATATTCTGAATTTTTTTTTGCTTATGCCGTTTGTATTCAAGGCTCTCATTTTCCGATAAATGTCTCAACAACGGCAAAATTTCAATGTTTACGAAATTCAAATTTTCCTCACTTTCTACCGTCAACTTGCCCTTAGCCTTCCGGGAATGGAGTGGAAGCTGAATCGGTAAGAAAGCTTCATATTCTTTCATAATCATTATTATTATTATCATTATTTTACTTATTTATTTTGCCTGTTCCATGATTCTTATTCCTGTTCTCTGTTGAAATACAAGTATTTTTACACTAGACTACTGATTCCTGTATTAAAATTTGCGTCTGGTTGAATAAATTCCTTACACAAAATTTTATTTCCTTTCTAACTTATTTTTCACCGTCCTTGAATCCTTTATCTCACCAGTGAAAAATAGAAGTTTAGCTGCTGAACCCTTTCTCTCATTTAAGAGAGAACAGTTCCGCTGCTGAACCCTTTCTCTCGTATAAGAGAAAGCACTTTTTCACATGACGCTCCAAATTATTGGAACTTTATTCCTCAAGTACTACTTCGACTGATTCTACTCGTAAAAAATATGGCTCTATTTTTAACCAATAATTTTTCTCCTGAAATTCTCTAAATCGAAAAATGCTTCTTATAAAGTGTTAGCGGTAAATCGTTACATTACTATTCGTTTTCATGATTATTTTGAGGAGTCATGGTTCTGCCTACACTTACAATTTTATTTAGTTACTACGTTGAAATTTTAGATTTGCAGCAAAATCCTTATGAAGTGCAACTTAATTTGTTATTTTTCAGCTCTTTTACCTCAATTCACATGCGTCGTTTTGTGCATTCTCCTTTGTTAATATATAATTGACATCTATTGTTAAACATGCATTTATTATTGTGAATGTATATTAACAAATATGGGACTTTAATTGACATAAACACCCAATAAGGAAACGGGTATTTTTTCTAATCCAGACAAAAATAATCCAGCTACAAATATAAACTCTACTCGTCATCTAATTATTCAAATATTTAAAATACAAAGTCTTATTTATAAACTTCTTATTATGAATTGAAATGTATTACGAAATCATCTTGAGCTTATGTTGATAATATGTATATAAATTCTTATTATTATTAAATTAACGAGTAAATGTCTGCAGACACGCGTGTCCGTGTGGAAGAAATGGAGCGAGCTCGCCAAAGGCCCCAACGGCCGTCTCTCAGGCTCTGTGTGTGGCCAGGACCCTGAGTAAGTCTTGCGCTGCTGGTTAATTTTTGATTAATAATTTAAATATTTAATGATTTAATAATAACCAATGATGAAGTAATTTTGATTAAATTTTTGATTAGTAGTACAGTTGTTACAATACCGTCCTTGGTACCAGTTATTGTTATTTCTTGGCGTCCTTGTGAAGCATTTACTTGCCACTGCACAGCTACTGCAAAGAACCAGCGTCGGTGCCGCCGCACGAATGGCCTGACGACATCACGCGCTGGCCGATCTGCCGTAAGCGCACTTCTATCCAAGCGGTGCGCAAGTTCCACGCGGCCGAGCACATGGCGTGCGAGGTGATAGGCCACCCTTGCTGCATCGGCATTCATGGCGAGTGTCGCATCAGCACGCGCGAGTACTGCAACTTCGTCAGGGGATATTTCCACGAGGAAGCCACGCTCTGTTCCCAGGTACGTACATCCTACGTGCACCTGCATGCTGCATTCAATTACAAACTTGGTACAATTTGTTCAATACTCATACTGCACTCGTTTACAAACTAAGTACAAGTGTGTTCTACATACAATACACGTACATTTTGTTCAATGTAATGCCTACGTGAGTGCGCTTCCTTTAAACTATGTACGTACGTGCTCTATATTCTTTTTGTTTTGCACCGTACACAATCTACGTAAGTGCGCTACATACAACGAACATTCATTTTACTCTAAAGAGAGTTCTAGAAAATTCGTTCTTGTTTGAAGCTAACTTTGGTAATTCGTAAGTCTGTTAGCGTGGAGACCATCACGTTTTGGTTTACTGGGTAACATAAGCTCAACCTTCTAACCTTCTAGTATGTAGTACGTCAATCATAAATGTATATTATGTATCTCCCCTTTTTCAGTTCTACTTCAATCTGAATTAACTCTGACATAACTCATGCTTCACTCCAGCTTGAAATAGGCTTCACTCTGCATTTGCTCGAGCTTCGCTCTAGCTGTACTGTAGCTTCAATCAGACTGCGCAAGACTTTAATCGCGCATATGAGAATTACTTTTCCCATAAAATTTCATATATCATTAGTATGCTTAAATCGCTAGTTCATCAACCATTTAAATAAATAGCCAAGAGAGCTCACATCATCTACACTAAAAACAACTCCACAATCAGTTGGAAGAATTTATAGAACTCAGGTGCAATCAATAGTGATATTCAAATTCCAATAAAAACTGGCTCTTTGTTTGCTTTTAAATTCTTAGTTCTCCCATAAAGTCTTAAGAAAGCCAGAATAAAGTCAGAATCAGCCAAAAATAAAATGCTTCGATACTGCGCATATCGAAAATCGAATAGGACTAGAAGATGCATTAAACCAACGGACTACACGAACAATTTCTCCCGCACTCATTCTGTTGAGATGAATCGCAAGAGAAAAAAAGTTTCAGATCGAAGAAAAGCTTTTTTTCTATTTTATTACTTTTTCATATTGCTACACTTCAAATTTTATTATTGATTGAGAAGATACAATGTTATCCGCTACAATACCTCGCAAAACACACAAGGTTGAAGTAAATTTTTGGTTGCTGTGATTTATTATACTGGGAAATTTTATCCTACACATCAAGACGTGTTTGCCTCTTCGCGGCCATGAAGGCCTGCACATAGCCCACAGGCCACTAGAGGCAATTTACAGGCCGTAAATATTCTAAAGGACATTACAGAAATTCTTATTTGCTTATCAGACCAATGCCTCTCCGTCAGCCACTCAAGCCGAAGCCTCCTTAATTTTTAGATTCCTATTTTTGTTTCAACGTTATTTCTTACGTCGAACTCGTGGCTCCGGACATGACACTCAGCGGCTTTTAAGTGTGTCCTGAAACCTAAACCGAGATGGTGTGAAGAATTCTAATTGCCGTTAGCTTCTTGTGGTTTAGTTTTAGGTTTTTCTCCCGAAAATCTTCAAATATTCAAGCGGGTTCCCATGAAAGATTCTCTAATTGTTAAATTAGTTTTTGGTCGCCATCGAGTAGCCATGCCAGGCGCTCAGCTAGACGCTTATAAAGCGCATTAATTTAAAATTAGTGAAAACTTCTACGAACCCCGTAATCAATCTGCATAAAGTGGATAATTAGTAAAATTAGCAAGACCTGACTTATGAGGCTCCACTGCGAAGAATTGAATGCTGGACCTCCAAATTGACTCAGTCCACGCACATTTTTTCTGCAAAGATGATAACGTTCAAACATGCCTCCAAAGAACAAAGTCTGAAACTCTGGAGTGCATTAGATTCTTGAACCAGTAATTGGCAGCAGTAAAAATGAAATACCAAAAAGCGCTTGCTGAGAGCAGTAACACTAAATAAAAGTATAAAGAATTGTGTCTGTAAATGTGAATAACCTGAAACAAGAAATCGCGTTTGAGAGCTTCACCGCAAGCAACGCTCTCAAGCCGAGTCAGAGAAAGGAGCGAAGTAAGATAGGCTAGAACCTTCCTCAATGCTTTTTATCACTAAATCGATCTAAATAAAATCATTGGAAAATCAACCTCAGGAAGGAAACGATAGGCGTGGACAGAAGTAGTCTACAGGATTGAAAAAGCTGAACGATTAGCGTCAAAAAGGGGAAGGTTTTATAGGAAAGAAGAGGCTTACAGGAATTCAAAAGCTAATCAAATTACGCCAGATTGTTGGTGGATCAAGCGCTCACACCGGAATCAAATGTAAAACTTCTAATGATTAACGGCAAGAAGGGCATGTGATTGTGGCGGATAAATCTTCAGGAGATAAATGATTGGGGTTCGTCGACACGGACTTAGATGGCTGGAAGTTAAATAAAAAATTTCTTTGCTGGTGTTTTGCAGTTTCGGTTTTTATGTAAATGCACCTTTAACTATATTGCTATTTAGATACATCTTGAATTCTGAATGCATTTGACGATTGGGTGTTCTTATTGGAATTTCATGTTCAAAGAGAAGTTTAATGAAAGTAACAGAAATATGTTTTAAAATAAAATTTGTTTCACTTTGGAATCAATGATTAAAAATATGTATTTAATTGTGAAGGAAACGTTTGGAAACGAATCACAAAACGTTTAATGAATGGTCCGAAGCTTTATTTTCGTTCAATATACTAGCTGGTAGTTCTTCTGAATCGTCGCGTAATGGATTAGTCAATATCTGAAATGAAAAAAAGGCACTGTGAGAATTTAAAGTGATCTGTAAAAATGTTAAAAAGCTTACCAAAATTTGCTCAGGGGCTTGCACAAGAACAATTATTCATAATTATTGCATTAGTTTTGAAAACTTCAATTGTATATTCGTAATACTTATTTCAATATTATTTTTTTTATTTCATTGTGCGCCCAAGATTATAACAAGTATTATGGAATGTTTCGTTACATTCGAGGTAACAGCCCGTATTATGGAATTAATGTTTCGTTGCATTCGAGGTAACAGCCCGTATTATGGAGTGTTTCGTTACATTCGAGGTAACAGCCCGTATTATGGAATTAATGTTTCGTTACATTCGAGGTAACAGCCCGTATTATGTATGGAGTGTTTCGTTACATTCGAGGTAACAGCCCGTATTAAGAAGGGCTGCAATACGCTCACGGTAGCGGCCCGTATTAAGCATTACTGTTGTTCGCAGGTGTCTTGCATGAACAACGTGTGCGGTATGGTACCTTTTCACAGTCCCGATCATCCAGATCAATTCTACAGACTCTGGACTTCGCTTTTTATACACGCCGGGTGAGTATCGCTGGTATCTCAAAATCAAATTAACTTTTCATGATAGGTAATTTGACTTTCAAGTTGTTCTGTAGCTAAATTAACTATTATATTTACAGCGATTATTACTCTTTCGGAATAATTCTAACGTTTAAAGAACGGCTGTTGATTTCATTTTAATTTCATAAGAACAATGGACAGGTTAGTATTAAATTATTAATTACCAACTGAGGCTTAATTATATTGACAACGGAACACATAATTTGTTCAAGTTCAATACCATTGTTATTACCTTCAAGTCTTAACCAGGGACAATTTATTTAATTGAAATGCAGGTTTCCTGTAAATAAAGTTTAAGAGTCAACTAATCGTTTCATTCGCTATAAATGGCTGTCCTCGCACTGTACGTAATAAATAACATTACCAAGTTTACTTAAAAGTTAGTTTTTCACGACTTGATGTTCTTCATTTTCGTTGGTAATGTCTACAATTGCATATTTTTCAATTTTTCGATGATAGAGAACATACCGAGAGAGTTGTCTTAAACTCGCGTAAAATGTAATACATGCGAATCAGAATAATTTCGCGGTTTATCTAGAATCATCTTTTGATGGTCTTAAATAAGCAAAAGGAAGGAGCAAATCTCTTCCGCAACTGATCATTGACGCCTATTTTAAGAGAAGGTTCAGTTTAAAATTTATTTACGTCGTCATTTTGAACTGGGCAAATATGTTGTAATCAGTTGAGTTGTTTTCTCAATGTTATTTTCCTAAATTCAGACTGAGCATTATCGATTCACGAATATCAATCCTCAATTACACGACGATTAATCCTCAATTATTAACTTGTTTCGTTTGTTTGTTGTCATTGAATTAGTCAGCATTCAAAGAACTGCTGAGTGAAAGAAAGAACATGAAATATTAACTCTCTTTGCGGAGGCTCAGTGGCCATCCATGTGGCTAAAATGACAATTTATTGTCCCGTTGCAGAGTGTTCCACCTCGCCATCACCTTATTTCTTCAATTTTTCTGCATGAGAGACCTGGAGAAGCTCGCTGGTCCAGTGCGTATCGGCCTGATTTACATCATCTCGGGCATCGCTGGTAATTTAGCTTCAGCTATTTTCGTGCCCTATAGAGCAGAAGTAGGACCGTCTGGATCCCAGTTCGGGCTTCTTGCTTGTCTTTTCGTCGAAGTAATCAATTGTTGGCCGCTCATAAGACATCCTTGGTCGGCCTTGGGACGGCTTGTGGGCTTGACAGGAGCCCTCTTCCTCATAGGACTACTGCCGTGGGTAGACAACTACGCACACATCTTCGGTTTCATCTTCGGCTTCCTGTTGTCGTACGCGCTTCTGCCGTTCGTATCGTTCGGTCCCTACGACAGGCGGCGTAAAGTGCTCCTAATCTGGGTCTGCCTGTTAGCTGTGCTCGTTATGCTAAGCGCCCTCATCATATTGTTTTACGTTACACCAATTTACGAGTGTAAAATATGTGAATATCTCAACTGCATACCCTTAACCTCTGAACTGTGCGCTGAGCAAAACATCAACTTCAATAGAAAGCACCATAACTTGATATGAAACGAGAACGACCCGTTCATTTTTCTCTTACCTTTAGATTACCGTAAATAGGTTGTGGCTACCACTTTTCAGGCCTAGAATATTGCAATTTTGAGCTTTAATTTAACGGCAATCTCTATTACGTGGCTGTCGGATGAATGAAAGCATTATTGCATGCGAATGATCTTTATTAATTGTGAATGATATGCAGTTCTGACGCAAAACATCAGGAAATAACCGAAGTAATTTATTCTAAAACAGCTCCATTCGCTCAGCACGAGCTCGAATATCTCATAGGCTTGATCAAATGGTAGCGTCAACGTGTTTGGGGTGTAGGTATCGCATTGTACAACTTTATCAATTTAGTCTGTGTAAAGTATCTTCCACTAAGAAACAAAATTGTTTAGTGTAAACAAAATTTTATTGAATGGGAAAAGGTAATAAAGAAGAATTCTAGTTCATTCTCCAGAGCAAGATTCGATTGTAATAAATTTTCCACTAGATCATCCATCACACTGTTCTTGCCAATAGTTGAAATGTTGAATCCTGTACTGAATAATTATAAATTCCACATAATGATCTTAATAATACGATCTTGGGTTTAATCTCATTAATAATAATCACCGGAGCTTTAAAATATTGGGAAGATACTTTGCTGCATGCAAGTGATAAGATCGTCGCCTTTTGTGTGAAAAGAGACCTTAACTAATATTATACATGCTCAATAAATACTTCACACGGCTGCTTTTATCTCATAGTCGTCAGGGATTTTCTGAACTGTTGTTTGGAGGGGAGAAATGAACATAAATTGCTGTCAAGTTGTGCGCATTGCGGAGAAAAAGTTTCAAGTTGACGTATTTCGTTATCAAAGTTGATCGGTCGGCATTTGGAATGTTTTTGTGTTTCGAATTTCGGTGTGAAGGAATTTGCGATTTTTAAAATAAATACAATAAGAAAATTTATTTCAATATTAATTTTTTATGTATTTCTGAACGGTGGCATTATCAAAAGGGCATCGAATACAACTCTTTCAATAAAAAATCTTGAACTAACCACAGAGTTCCTGAAGAAAGTGATTATCTCAATTCATTACATTAAATGAGTGTAATGGTTTCTCCGCCAGAGGCAAATAATTTAATTGCGTTGAAGTAATCAGTGTGAAAAGAATGCGAACGTCTTGATGTGGAGGTGATGTGTAGACGTCTATTGAAGTTGATGTCCTGCCCTCAGGGCCAGGTATACCTTTTTGTGTGTAGCGTTCCATTGTTCCATGCATCATCGTGACGTCTCATCAGACAAATCCTGAACTTGCATCAGAATATATCAGGTGAATCAACGACTCAATATTCCCGATCCTAAAACTTGACTTCCCTAAAGATGTTACGAGATACCGAATGACTTGTGTTTTATATTTATGAACTCTTTGCTTTGATTTAATTCGACTAATTTGCATTTCAAGTTCTACTTTCATTCCTATTTATCTACTTTGTAATGAATTTCTTTCTTTCGATTAATGTAACTTTGTTGTAGTCATGTACTTGATTGAAGCTCATTCCATCGAATGCCGTTTCATTGAGACACTTATTCTTTCTAATTCATCTAGTGAGCCAAAACATTTTTTCAAACAAAGGTTCCACTATGATATATACAGGATAAGCAATTTTCTTTAAGGTCATTGCATCCTGTGTGCTCATATATGGAAGAAATAATTAAATTGCTTCACTATACTTGTACGGTAGCGGTAACTAGCTAGGTGCAAGGCCTGATTCTAACTAAGTTGGCAGATTCCTGCTGACCATATTTGCACTCAGTTTTCAGCAGGAATATATCTCAACCAAACATCGAGTGCACAAACCATAAAACAAGTAAATTTTGGAGATGTTTGTTAAAAACTAGCCGAATTATCTCACGCCATTGGTTCCATGTTTGAAGCTCAAATGTTAATGTAATTAATTTTTAATGTCTTATTATGCATATAACATTTTTTGTTAGTATGAATTATTTTAAGTTGAGCTGCTTTCTATGTTTTTAGTGAAACGAAAAGTTGACATGTTGAGTTGACCGCAAATGTCTTTTAAATACCTACTAAAACGTGACGTTTCTCGAAATGAAAGGTTGTGCAATCGCTTTATTTATTTTAATGTTTACCAAACGAGTCGCCTGTGTTTTGTAGCGCAATAAGAATTTGATGTTATGTTTTCGGTTAGAAATGCAATGCAAAGTTAAAAGGTATAAGTAAAGTCGAGTTTAAAGTGGTTGTCAAGATGAGACTTGCCGTGTTAAACTAGTAAATTGACAAACCAAGTTTGTATCATCATAGTTAATTGTTTTTTAAGATACTTTGAACTCAATTTCTTTAGAAATTGAACCAAATTTCGAAATTATCTCAATATTTCCTCATCGGTTTAAGCTCGATGAAAGAACCATCCAAAATTCCTCAATCGTTCCCTTTTTTTTTTTTGAGGCTAAGTTTCTAACTGTTCTTGCAGTTATTTGTCATCTTTGATTTTCAAGTGACGGAATTTCTTATGGACAAGAATCTCACTGCATTAGCTCTTCCATTTCAACTCCGAAGCAACTTTTATTTTTTCGGAGGAGTCGATGGCTCAGGAGCGGTCAGGTAACTCATCTTCCATGGCTTCGAGAAAATATTGATATTCGACCTCCCTGTCACAAAATATGTCTGTATGTGTATGTAAAGTTCATCTTCGTATAGTGTTCATCCCACTCACCGAATCATTCAACTTATATGAAACTTGTATGTATTTAATCTAGTGTAAATAACGTAAGTTAGTCACTTGGTTGGTCCGATGTTTTTTGATAACCTATTAATATTATCATCACTATTATTAATACTATTATTTGGCAGTAAGAAGCGTGTCGGTGTGATCCTCTTAGCTTACGCGTATTGCGAAGTGAACTAAAATAAGCTGTAGGGTAAACCAATCGTCGCCCTAGTCCCCTTATTCTTCCTCAATAAACGTAGCATCTCAACTGACACTTGATCTCTCAGAATCACCGCCATATCCTTCTCATTCTGCGTTCCACCGCCTCACTTTTTCTTTTGTCTACTTTCGCCCTTAAATTATTTTATGTAGAAAATACTCGTACGATTCATGAATGTTAATTTTTTCATAGTTGTAGCATCCCTGTACGATTTTGTACTTGCATAGTGTCTTTCCCAAATGGAAGGAAGGACAGAGCGGTAAAGTTCGTGTCTTTTGTGGCATCTAGCCATGGCAAAACATAGCGATTCCGAGATTAAAATTTAGCGAGTACTCAGAAAACATCTCCTAAAATCCCTATACCGAAAATACTCTAAATTTGTAATTAATTTTTTACTAGTTTGTTTCGCCCACGTTCTCAAGGGGGAACGTATGAGAAACAATGAAATTATTTTTGCTGTACGTTGTGCTCAATATACTTGGTGTACATGTTTGTTTGCGCTTATAAAGAAGAAGCTTTTTTATGTGCTACATCACTGATCATTGATTAATTCGGCAATCGGTATCCTCGAGATTTATTCTAACAGTAAAACAAACATACCTGACCCGTTGACAATATTTAGTGTCACACGAAACTGTAGAACTCGCAGCCAACTCTACCTAAATATTCAATTTATTACTTTCAACATTTTTTCATTCATTTAAGATTTATGAAAAATTGGACTTGATTGTTAAGGCAGGCAACCTCTACGATCAATGATGAACTGTGAGGCGGAGAAATGGCGACACTTCATTGAACATTGGCTGATTAATCTGTAGTGGCCGTCTCGTGTAGCATTACCAGAGTTTGGCAAAATCTGTAATTTTATATAAGCTTTGTTGAAAAGTACGTTTTTTGAACAATTTCCTCATTGTTTTTTGAACTTTAAAATTAAACTCGGTAAAAAATAAAAGTGTTGATACAATATACTCTCAAGTCTACATAACTTGCATTAGAATTCGCGAACCGATATTACTTTGTTAATGAAAGTGTTTCAGTAGCAGTGTTCCAAAGTATAGAAGTTGAAGTTTGTTATTCCATAAAAGTTTTACCGGCAGTTGTGGTTCCTTGAAACGATCGTCTTTCAATATACAGAAGCATTCATCGATACCCACTGCACTCTCACGTTTCCATAGAGGTAATACCACGTTTTCATTTATATAATACTATTATTACTTTCAATCAGTTATCGTGATAATTAAATGACAAGCTCAATGAAGATGATTAAATGAGATTAGAGTTGCGATAAAACTTCTTTTCTGTCTGTTCTCGTTGGGAAGAACTATTTATCCTGCAAATCGCATTCCACAGCCTGCATGCAATTCGCCCGTTATTTAGAATTAATAAAATATGATGTAAGGGAAATATCTCCTGAGATTTTTCCTCGACGAAGTTTCCATGAATTTTGAAACTCTTGGGATTTTCTGGCCTCTAGTCGCTTCTAGGTGCCGTTAGAATAAATTTGTGCCAATTCGATCTCATAAGTACTTGCTTGCCCATTGCAATTGATACATTTCACGAAATCATTTTATTTGTGAAGCCTAAACTCGCTGTTGCTGTAGAGTTGAATTTTCGCGTACAGTATTAAGACCGGAATAATTACAAGAGCGTTCCGCACTGGGTAGGACCCTTAGAAAGTTACGTACGCTCATTCAAATACTGCCAGTCTGACGGTCGAAAAAAGTGATGAACGTTATCGTGAATGCGTTATGCTATTTTGAAAATCCTTCACTTTTATTGAAGTTGATACGATCAAAGAAAATAATTTTGATTAATGTCCTGAATCATTTACGCTGTTACATTCAGATTCATACGATTGCAGAAAAAAAAATTCTTCCAATACGATTCAAATTCAATGATAGATCGAAGCACAATAATCAGTGCTTCAAGTAATTTCTTTTCTTACATTTCGAAAATAAAAATCTTTTTAAACATCTTGTATCATCTATCAAATCGCGTTAATATAAATAAATAGTGCTAGAATTCGTTATGAAAATGCTACATTTCAGCACCATTAAATATGACGAGGAAAGATAGGCGGGCATGAAGCCACATATTGAGTGATTCTCTTTCCGAATTAAAGTTGAACGATTTCCTCGGATAGCATCTTATACAACTAGCCTATGCAAGCGCACTGTTAATATTCGAAAAGTTGAGTAGCAGTTGAGCATCAAAGTAGCACAAATTATATCATCACAAACTTTCAAATTATCATTCGTAGCTCCAAATTCTTCAAGCGATTCTCAATCTCTATTCAATAAATATCCATTAAATGGACGGTTTATCATCAAAGTGTGTTACGACAAACTTGAAATTTGTAGCGCTCGTCGAACGAAACCACCAACTTTCATAAATTTCATGTCAACAGCGGATCTCGGTAAACTATACGTATTATTAAGGTGGAAATTTTAAACCTTTACCTACATTCCATTTGTGAGGCGGTTATATGTTCGTTCATTTGTTGTATAAAGAAGGCATGAGTGACATGATTTTTGTAATGAACCAATTACCGATGATATTTAACATGTATAGAAATAAATACTGTGAAAATCCCCGACATAGATTTTTATGAAAACGGGGGTCGAACATTTGTGTACTAATAAATCATGGAATGATACAATTGTTTTGTCATCCTGCTAAATCTATGAAACTTTTAGGAAGATCTCGACAGACAAGAGATAACCTTACAAAATTAAGCCGACAATGAACGCAATCAGCAAATGACTAGTAAGAAGTTATTTTAAATAACAACTTTTTTCAGGGTTGCCTTCATGGTTAATTCCTTAATGGTCGTGTTTTATGTTGTATTCATTAAGCACAAAATGTGATCGAAAGTTTTTTCGTGACAAAATGTTTTGTGGTATCGGCAGCAGCTAAGTCCAGTTTTTAGGCTTTTAATTTGAGACTACACAATATCAATTTCTGGTCATGAAAGTTCAGTTTCCAGTTAGAAATCAATCAAACGTTAACCTTACGCCTGGATAACTCAGCAGGCTAACTTTTTTGGAGTTAATAATACATGTTGTATCCATTCTTTTTATTCATTCATTTTTTATTCAGTTCAAGTTTTTGTTAGATTGAAGGATTGAAAGCCTTGGTTGAATGAAAATTACACATACATTTCGGAATAAATTCTCATCACATGACAAATAAGCGCTCCAAATAAATCATTTGCATAACTCGTAAACGATATAATACCAGAAAATATGAAAGAATCGAAATGTAAGTATACCTCACCATACACTGGTGGAGCTTGAGGAGAATGGAGTCCTTATCCATGAGGCTCAGTTTGCTATTATAAACACTAATAAACACCACATTACTAAAAACTCGAAATTTCTCAACCATTTTGCTAACCTTAACAGAAATTCTTTAAAGAACGCTACTCTAAATCGATTATTCTTCCTCCCCGAGCATGAAAGAAATCGGAATTATCCCCATCACACCCCTCGATTTCTCGCGGTTGTGCCGGCGCCGTACTTGGCGGCGCTAGAGCTGAGTTTGGCCGCTAGCGATGAGGTGCGCAAATTGGACGATGGTGCGCGTGGGGCGGCCAGACATTCCCTTGCTGAGGTACGGCACCTCGTCTCTGTTCTCCATCACGCCAGCGATGTCAAGATGCATCCAGTGCTCGCACGTCACGAATTGCTGAACACCGCGGCGTTAGAGCTCGTTAGGCATGGCATTGGCTCCGCAACGAGATTTATATCACACACATATATTTTTGAATGCCTTCAAATTATATCAAGACAATATCAATCATAAAGCACCCAAATAGATTAAAGATTCTATCGAAGTAATATATAATCACTCAAAAAATAAATGTTAATGTGTTTTCACAAATTAAATGTAATTCTGTAACGGTACGAACGCGCAAAGAGCAGAACCGGTGTAAAATCACTAGTATGGTTAATCGAATGTTACGGTTACTAAAAAAGGCCCATTCAATGAATTTATAGATTTTTCATTCAATGAAGTGGATCTTAGCACGTCTTCCATGCAATACAAACACAATTATTGTACTCTTTAGGCTCAATGGGGATCGGACGCAACATAGCTTTACAAATTTCAGATTTTATCCTTTCGTTCAGATTGTTCACGACCACCGCAAGAGAAAAATGAGAATCGGTCGATCAGGATGAGTTGAACTAACCTGCAAGAAGGAAGCTGCAGTACAGGAGCCGGCTTCCCTTTCGTACTTGCCCAAATTATGTACATCAGCCATACCGTGCTCTGTGAACGATCAGTAGTAGCAATTTAGATCAACTAAACACGAAAAAAATAATAAAACCAAATTTTAAAGCTGATGACAGACAGAATTGAACCAGATCGGCCCATATGACCTGGGCCGACCAGCATTGCGATGCGTATCCGTTAATTAAATAAGTTCCACGAGCTGCCGCTGGCGCTAGGATCGTTTCTAAGCGCGACTAGGCAACAGAGGCAGGTTGTTTGATTCCCCAACTCCAACCCCTTAACAAGCCAGCGTCCCTGTGACTTTTAGCCTTGCATCAGCAGGCGTCAGCGATGAAGTTTATTTTGCGTCTGCCGCCAGCTGCGTGTTGCGGTCTGTTATTCGTTTCCTGGCCGCTAGGAAGAAATCAGTGAAGGAAATTCACGAAGAACTTTGTCAAGTGTATGGAAAAGAGTGTATGAGTTCCGAGGGTATTATATGGGTATTATAATACTCGTATTATAATACCCATAATTAGAATTTCTTTCGAAAATAGCCTGAATTTGTACAAATCAGGTAGGAATGCAAAATATTCGAAAGGAAGATACGCGCAGAATTTGCAGGCCGATATTCGAGTCACTAGAATCTTCACTTCTGGTGTGCGATAAGTTGTCGTCCAGCAAGCCTAAAACCCGTCACCCAGTGAATAAACAAGCAAGATAACTTTTATGTTTTATGTATGTTCAATAATTTATTATGCGATACCTTCGTATCGTTCGTTCTTTAGATCCAGATGAAAAAAAACTAAAATCTTTCGGGAAGTTCTCCAATTCAACCTAAATCATGCATACGGCATAAATTATAAGATATTTAAAAATACGTGATGGCAAAATTTAGATGGCAACAAGCTGACTTCCGGATGTACGATTTACGGTTATCGTATCGAAAGAAAATAGATAGTCGCAATTCCAAAATGGAAATACAAGCAAGAAAATTCAAAGCCTTTCCTCCGAAATAAAAATTCATAGGAATGACACATGCATTCTTGTCGACTAATACAGACAACCAAGATACATGTAGTCAATATAAAAAATTTACATAAAATGACCATTTATGTGCCCTGACGCGACCCAGAAGTAGTGAAATGAAATAACTTGAGTTCCTAATTCCTCGGTTCTGCTCTTTACGCAACGAGTTACAAAATTTCATCAAGTAATTCACAGCCTGGGAACCATATGTTAGATGGACCTTCAACAAAGGCAATTCACTAAAGTGAAACTTTTAATTTTAACTCCGACGTAAATACAATCAATGTTGCGGCACTGTTTTAACTTTGATTAATGAGGCAAAATTGCTAGGTCGAAATTTTGGCTATAGAAAATCATCTGAACTTATCGTAGTGAAAACACATTTTTGAAAAGTTTTTTTAGGCCACCAATTCGTTATCGAAAATATAGATCACAAATGAAAATATAGATGACGGGAATCGCTGTGACTTTACCTGGAGGAAGCATGCAGCGCACGACGCGGCACCGCGCGGCTTGTGACGAGCCTCATTATTGAGGTCTGCGAGAGCGGCGTCTGCGACCACACGTGCTTGTCATATCACGTGCTTGTCATATCACGTGCTTGTCATATCACGTGCTTGTCATATCACGTGCTTGTCATATCACGTGCTTGTCATATCGCTTGCTTGTCATAGCACGACCAATGCACTCTAATGCACGGGTATCTATTATTAGGGCCAAGACATATATATGACAAAGCACCCCCATAGAACACCTTCATGCAGAAACAAAAATACTTCCCATAAAAGCACACCTTGACATGAGAGGAACACAGTTCATAGCCGCAGCCATAAACAACACACAACACCCATGCCACTACCTACGCGACCACCCACTTACACACAGACAAATAGTGCAAACCCCACACAGATACTACACCAACATACTAAACACAGTACCCCCACCCCAAGGCAACACCAGCACAAAAAAAAACCCTTACACACAATTATGACACTTAGAACGCTGGAGCTGGCCGGCAACAACAAAGTCCTTGGACAAAACACTTACACACAATTATGACACTTAGAACGCTGGAGCTGGCCGGCAACAACAAAGTCCTTGGACACCCACCACCTGCCATAAGCAGCACAGAAACACAGCTCTCTAGACTGGAGAGAGTACACCTAGCCAGGCTGCGCTGCGGCCACCACCCTTCACTACAAACTTACGCAAACAAAATAGGCCAAGCAGACACAGACACCTGCCCATCCTGCCAGGGAGCTCCCCACACAATCACTCACATTCTCCTGGAATGTCCACTCTGGCAGGACCTCAGACAACACCACCACATAACCTCGACCCTACAGCTCTGGAGCGACCCCTGTCGGTGGTGTCGTACTTGCGCGAGGGGAGTCTCTTATAAAAATGAGACCGGGGAACCACAACAACAACAACTAGGGCCGTAATATCAAAACTAGTTCATGTTCACGTAGCGGCCGATTTTCCGTCCATGATTGGTGTGTTTCGCTTGAAAAGCCGATAGTGTTATGACCTCGTAATCAATTTTGATAGTACGGCCCCTGAATTCTACTGATGCTGTCTGCTCATGTATATAATTAGAATCAATCTTCTTTATTAATAATCACGAGAATTGAATAATGAAGTTCGAAAATTTCGGAGATCAAACATATACCTAATACATACCTAAGTGAAATAATTAATAATCGCTTATAATGTACGCCCCGAAATTTATTTGGGAGCTTTAATGAAAAAAGTTACTGATTGCCAGATTGTACCTCACCTGTAACCTGCTTGCTGTAGACCTGCCACAGTGGCATGCGCCACACACGGTCACCAGTCGTCATACCGGCGGCTTGCATGGCATGCCACAGTTCGTCGGAAGAACTGAAGGCTCCTGCAGCACCGCCACCTAACGCCACACTCATCGCTCCTGCAACACACAAACGAAACTTTCGTTATTTTGTTGTTGAATATAGGGAAATAAAAACATACAGCAGCTTTAAATAGTAGGATCTGTTTCAACAAAAGTGCAACTTGGAAGTATCTTTCCAGCAAATTTACAGTGAATATACTGAAGAAAGTAAGCGATCCTGTTACAAAAAAATTTTTTTGATAGAATGGTCCCAGGAGTGCAAGCAGCTGCAAGCCTTACATTTAATTACTATATTTTGGATGAAAATTCAAGCTTCGATAATATGATTAAGGTCTAGGTCGCTTAAAGACCTCAATATGATTAAGGTCTTGTCGCTTTCATCAAGCCAATTTCATGCCAAGACACCCGAAGTTTCACATCTGCGCCAAATTTTGAATTTTACTTCTAGGCCTAAACCGCAAATACTTCAACACGTAAACCAGAAGACAACGAATTTATTATTATTATTAGCGGCACTTTAATTTGAAACTTAAACTTTCAATTTGTTATTCTAAAGTTAATATAATTTTGCTTAAATTCCCGCTTTAGGGGTTCTTATTCGGACGTTGGCAGTTCCCAATCGCTGGCTGTATATCCAGAATTAATTTCTTCCCGGGGTTACAGTTAGAAATTATAAAAGTTCGTGGCGGGCACTTGCAACGCGTCTGTTTTTACCCCCGAACTGAAACAAGAAGTTCCCGATCGTGTCACTACGAATGCCATTGCTAGCGGCTGTAGCCCTCGTCAGACCACCTAATTTTGCAACGTTACGAATGTACTAAGTTAGTGTAGGTACACTGTAACTAGTGAAGGTACACTGTAACTAGTGAAGGTACACTGTAACTAGTGAAGGTACACTGTACCTAGAGTAGATACACTCTAACTAGTATAAGTACACTGAACCTAGTGAAGGTACACTGTACCTAGTATGAGTACACTGTACCTAGTGTAGATACACTGTACCTAGCGTAGGTACATTTGTACCAATACAGTGCATAAAAGTTAAAGCGTAATCAGCGCGCGCAGTTCACCGGTGAGCGTGGCCATGTCCACGAGAGCTCGCGGCTTGTCGAGGCAGGCGAAGTGGAGGGCGTCTGCGAGTATCAGGCGACCCTCGGCGTCTGTGTTGTCAACCTGCACGCATCACAACATCGATGATTTATGTTCCATTTATCCATCACTTTATTATAATATTATACCTCTAATAGTTATAAATTAACCGTTTATGACGTTATAAACTAGCCGTTTATGACGTTATAAACTAACCGTTTATGACGTTATAAACTAACCGTTTATGACGTTATAAACCAACCGTTTACGACGTTAGAAACTAACCGTTTATGACGTTAGAAACTAACCGTTTATGACGTTATAAACTAACCGTTTATGACGTTATAAACTAACCGTTTATGATGTTATAAACTACGTAACCGTTTATGACGTTAGAAACTAACCGTTTGTGGCGTTAGAAACTAACCGTTTATGACTTTATAAACTCACTGTTTATGACGTGTTAATCAAAAATTGGTAATTATTTGATTAAGCGTTCCTGAAACGCTTAATCCTTTGATTAAGCGTTCCAAACTTAATTATTCTAAACAGTTACTAACTCTGAGAGTGTTCCCGATTAGCTTCCGGATGCAAGAAAAAACTAGTTAAGTGTTCAACAAATTGGAAAAAAATGTTCGGTTTTTTATTCTTCACCTCCAAGTAAATTACAAATTCTTATCAAGAAAAAAAAACGCTTAGCTTTTTTGTTGGGCGAAATAATACCAAATTTTCTGATAACAGCAAATACATAAAAAATAAAAAAGTCAATAACTTGGAATGAAGAAAAAATATAACTCAGTACTCACTGCAGTGAGTGACAGAGAGCGCATTTTCTCGTCGACGAAAACGTGAAATCACGGACGGACAGACAGACAGAGAGACGGACGGACGGACGGACATGGCGAGCACAATAGTGCATTTTTTCATAAATGAGAAAATGCGCTAAAAACAGTAATTAAATTTCAATTTTCACTAAATCACCAGAAATCAAGAGCATAAGTAGGAAGCAGATTTTAAAAAAAAGTATTCATATGGAGCCAGGTTAAAATTGCATTGCAAACCTATATCAACTTAATCCTCAACTATAAAAAATGAACACTTTATTCATATAAATCACAATCATATTTACCATTGATTACATCTAACTTTGTTTCATTTCGAAAATAATATTGTCTTAAATTCTAGTCAAATACCATCACTTGTTCTTGCAAGTGCTCAATATTACCATTATTTTGATTTTTGATAAGTACGATTTCAACAAAAAATTTTTTATCGCGATAGGCATGATCAAAGTTGGCTATAGATCACACTTGTCATGGTGCCTGACAAGAATAACTTTAGTGTTCGCGTATAGAATAATAACTTTAATATAACATAATAATAATAATAATAATATTTAATAAGAAGAACTTGAGTGTTCGCTCCCCCGACTCACCTGGATTGTCTTGCCGTTAGCGGCGGTGATGACGTCACCAGGCTTAGTGGCCGTCCCGCTGGGCAAGTTCTCGCACAGCGGGATGTAGGCTATTGGAACACAATTAACTCGTTGCGATTATCCAACTCAAAAATATGGAGATATAGAATTATTAATATCAATTTGTGTATATTGATTCTAAATATTAATTAATATGTACTATTTTGAGCACCGACGTTGATGACAAAAAACGTCAAGATGCGTGAAATAGAACGAGATCGTGCAATAAACAACAATCGAACTCGATTAAAAAATCTTTAAATTTAGCTAAGGGATCGTGGTTATGTAGAGACCAACATAATTTGCTACATCCTGTGAACGATTTGACCTTATCTACTAAATAATGACAGCGCAATAAAATAATAAGCGAGCTCGAAATTTAACTCAGATGATCCAAAACAAATTGTATACCAGTTCAAAGTGGGTCGCAAACTAGTTTATACGCCATTATTGAAAGTGTAAAACATCAAGTTACTTTTCAGATAAAAAAATAAATTGAAAATATTCCAAACAGAGTCGACATCAGAACGATGAAAGTAAAGAAACCGGAATTACGACCTTTGCTTATGACCCTAAGAGGAAAGGAAGGTTTCCTTAAGGTTTCTAAGGACCTAAGGATGAAAGGAAAAGAACCTTTAACATTAAGTGGAAGCTTGAGAGTCGCTATTGCGTGCAGCGCCCCCACGACGCACGCAGCGCCGCCCATGTCAGCACGCATCGCCTCCATGCCTTTGGACGGCTTCAGGGAGATGCCCCCTGCGTCGAACGTCACGCCTTTGCCTGACGAACGGGGAAAAATTAATTTCATGTGAAAATAACAATGAAAGACACTGACTGCTATTGACTAACAATGAAAGACACTGACTGCTATTGACTAACAATGAAAGACACTGACTGCTATTGACTAACAACGAAGGACACTGACATGTGAAGGACACTGACTTCTATTTTGAAATAGCGCTATAGTCTTAGTAATAAATTACATCGAAACCAATAAATGAGAAACTCAACAGCCTAATTCCAGGAAACATATAAATAGGGAGACTACCGATATACTGATAGAGTTGAAGAAAAATAAAAAAGTACACGCCATTCTAATGGGATAAACCAGAGACTAAATTAAGCTGACCATTCTTAATATTAACTGCACTATTATTTAGCCATAATGCACTCACCCACAAGAGCGAGGTGCTGCTGTCCCTGTTCAGCGCCGTCGTAGTTCAGCTCTAAGAAGACAGGCGGCTCAGCGCTGCCTCGCGTCACCGAGCCAGTGATGGTACTAAACTAAATTAAGCGGACCATTCTTCATATTAATTTTACTATTATTTAGCCATAATGTACTCACCCACAAGAGCAAGGTGCTGTTGTCCCTGTTCAGCGCCGTCGTAGCTCAGCTCTAAAAAGACGGGCGGTTCAGCGCTGCCTCGCGTCACCGACAGGAAGGCGCCCATCCTGCGCTCCTGGGCCCACGTCGCGTCGTGAGGCGTCACGCTGACGCCCAGGGGCTCCAGAACATCCTTGGCTCTCTGCAACAGTTGAAGGGGTCGCTTAAATTATATGGAAATTGATTCTTAATTACTTATTTATTTATTTTTATTAGGGGACAATTAAAATGAAAAAATATATGCAGATATTGTTCAGTGCTCTTACTTCAGGGCAATTCAGAGTATAATTTGGAATGATAATAATAATATTCTGCAATTTTACAGTAATTTTCCTATTTAACAATAAAATTGGCGGTATTAATTTCTTAATATTTTGAAATACTTGAAAAATTGAGTACGGAAATACGGAAACAGCAGCATGGTTTCTCAGTGCCTCGTTGCAAACTTATTTCGTTGCATATGTAAGATATTATAGCATGTTTTTCTTTAAACTGAGACTGGTAATCTGTGTTCAAGACTATAAACCTTCACTAATGAATATTTGCCAATTAATTACAACCCATAATTGTAACATGTACATTGAGTGCCGGTATTTTACAGGCATGCATTTTCACAGGAGCAGCACAACTGCAGAACAGGCCATGGGCCTATTACTTCAATGCCGAAACTTCTATTCTAACATATCTGTAAAAAGCTGCAAAATAAGTACATAGTTACACAAAAGAAATATTTAATAGCACCTGAGCGAAAATGGTGGGCGTGAGATGGTTAGCCGGCGTCTCCATGAGCTCCCGTGCGAGATTCTGAGCCTCCGCCAGCGCTACGCCGCGCTTCCACCTGGAGCACAGCACTTGAATTGCTGAACACATCGATTTTTTTAAATTATCTCGCATAAAAGTGCATACAGAACTTGAATTATTGCTGAACACATCGATTTTTTCAAAATTATCTTGCATAAAAATGCATACAAGTATAAGTTTAGCAAGGCAATCTGGTGATTTTTCAATACATTTTTCCTTCTGCAAAAAATTATCACGAAGTTCTAGATAAAAACTTCGTATGTGCTAGCACTTTAGAAATTCGATGAAAATGTTATGCGTCAGTGATGGAAAACATTATCAAACACATCATTTAATACAAATTTACAGAACAAAGGCTATACGATAAAAAAATCGGAGCATGCATCAATTTACGTTAATAAAAGACTGAAATCACTTACGCGTCGCGAGAAAATGTTATGTCAGCCAAAGAAAACATTATCAAACAAACATATATCATTTAATACAAATATACAGAACAAAGGCTATATGATAAAATAATCGGAACATCAATTTACGTTAATAAAAGACTGAGGTCACTGAGAAAATGTTATGTGTCAGTGAAAGAAAAAATCATCAAACACATCATTTAATACAAATATACAGAACAAAGGCTATACGATAAAATAAACGGAGCATCAATTTACGTTAATAAAAAAGAGATTGAAGTCACTCACAAATATACAGAACAAAGGCTATACGATAAAATAATCGGAGGATCAATTTACGTTAATATAAAAGAGACTGAAGTCACTCACGCGTCGCGATCGGTCTCCGTGTGGGGCACAATATCAGGCCGGTCTTTCTTCTCGGTCTTGAAGGTCTGGTAGAGGAAGGACGCAAGCACCGCACCTTCAGCGGCCGCCTCTGCGTCACCGCACGCGTCCACAATCACTGAGCTCACCCCCACCTCGCTCAGTGAGCGGTACCCCGCTGTGCGTTTTGTTAACGTTAGTAGGTAATTACATGGATCGGTTACTTACTAATACCTAGTAACTTTACTAACTTACTACGCGTTAGTAGGTAGTTATATGGATGAGATACTTACTAATACCTAGTAACTTTACTTACTTACTACAAGTTAGTAGGTAGTTATATGGATGAGATACTTACTAATACCTAGTAACTTTACTCACTTACTACAAGTTAGTAGGTAGTTATATGGATGAGATACTTACTAATACCTAGTAACTTTACTTACTTACTACGCGTTAGTAGGTAATTACATGGATGAGTTACTTACTAATATACCTAGTAACTTTACTTACTTACTACGCGTTAGTAGGTAGTTATATGGATGAGTTACTTACTAATACCTAGTAACTTTACTTACTTACTACGCGTTAGTGGGTAGTTATATGGATGAGTTACTTACTAATACCAAGTAACTTTAACTGTAAATACATGGATGAGGTTCACATTAATGAACCCGTAATTATTTTGGTGCATTTGTAACTTTTATTACATGAAAAATGTTAGCAATAATTGCATTCAGTTAGTAATCATATTAGCACATTAGTAACTCATACTACATAAGAGATGTTGGCCTCACCTGCGACAACGGTAAAGATGGCCTCACCTGCAACGGCGGTGCGGATGACCTCACCTGCGACAGCGGTGCGGATGGCCTCACCTGCGACGGCGGTGCGGATGGCCTCACCTGCAACGGCGGTGCGGATGGCCTCACCTGCGACGGCGGTGCGGATGGCCTCACCTGCGACGGCGGTGCGGATGGCCTCACCTGCGACGGCGGTGCGGATGGCCTCACCCTGTCTCTTATACACATCTAGATGTGTATAAGAGACAGGTACAGCAGCACGATCAGTACAGCAGCACGATCAGTACAGCAGCACGATCAGCACAGCAGCACAATCAGCACAGCAACACGATCAGTACAGCAGCACGATCAGCACAGCAGCACGATCAGTACAGCAGCACAATCAGCACAGCAGCACGATCAGCACAGCAACACGATCAGCACAGCAGCACAATCAGCACAGCAGCACGATCAGTACAGCAGCACAATCAGCACAGCAGCACGATCAGCACAGCAGCACGGTCAGTACAGCAGCACGATCAGTACAGCTGTATGTCCGTACAATCCAGTGCGAGCGGTTTATAAGAATATTTCTAGTCTCCAGATGCCTGTTATTAACAGATTAAACTTATACCGATACTATTTACTTGGCTGAAATAGATAATCTAAAGGTCTTTTCATGCCCTTTCAAAGGCGTTCAATACATCGTCCTTCAACTGCACGTCATCGGTCTAAGCGACAGTCAGATTCGTTCAACAGTCTAGCGGGCCTGACCTGCGCTACAGCTTCCACTGTTATAGTTACGGGATTCTACATATATTTGTTTATTGTAGCGGAGGCGCTAAAACGAAATATAAGGATGCATCATTTTGTACAGTGCTGCCGATCCGTCGGTCACACATATTTGTATTTAAAAATTTCGAACTTTTATAACTTTCAAATTCTCATGCATTACAGTAGTAGAACGCTAATATGTTTATAACGTTTTAATAACGTTTCAATGTAACACAGTTCACTTGTTACTTTGGTAGCAATGACATGAATTATCTCAGAACTAAATGCAAACCAGAAGCTTGATGCGCAATTCGTTATTGCGTTGCGCATCAAACAGAAATTTTTTATTTTTTTTTAACATATTGAAAATTTTTACATCGGTTAATTTTTAAGCGGTAATATTAGGCTTCAGGGAAAAAAAAGAAGAACGTTACTGAACATTTACTCCGTTACAAACTTAAAAACAATTACAAATCCATGATTCTAGCGAACAATGAAAACTTCAAAACTAAACATTCTACCCGGAATACTCCAACCTCTCGCAGACTACTCGTACTTGTCAAGATTAAAAACATAAGAAATAGGCTCAATCGCGATCAACTAAGACTAATCAAACGTCGATTTGTATTGTCGACGAAAAAATTAAATTTTGCCACGTTTCTCGCTTGAATTTTGTATTCTACTTTAAAATTGAGCTAACGCAAACGAAAATTCATGGGGCTGACCTTGATCGTATGGAAAATTCTGATACCAATTAGAGGTTAGGAAAATAATAATATACCTAATCATACGATTATATAACAAATTAGTTCAGAAAACTAATTGGTGTTATAGCGGAAGCCTTTAATTATAAACCTATGAGGTTATGAGAAATGCTTCGAAATGCGTTAACAAAAATTCAGATATTATAAATCGATCACGACAAAGAACTTATTCAGAATAATACATATCGACGGTCTTTTCTTTCATGTAAACTATATTATTACTTGTCACAAATAGTCTACAGCCCGTCTACAGAACAACAGAGCTGAAATGACTCTGATAAGTGAAAATTTGACGCTTCAACATGAAATGTCGCACTTCTGGCAAATGGCAATGAAAAAATAGTTCTTCTGCACAATTAAAATAAAAAATGAGGACGAAAAACCGTGAAATTATTTAAAAATGAAACGAAAAGTAAACTATAAAGCGGAGCACGCGGATGTACAATTTTTTCTGCATCGATAAGGAAGATAAATGAACTTCTTGAAGTTTCCATAAAACAACTAGGTACGACCAGACATTTCAGAGGTTGCGTGAATTCAAGTCTAATGCATACACTTCGACAGAAGTAAGCGAGTGACGGCAATATACACATTATACATTGATAATACAGTTGTGTTAATAATGATCAAGGGTTCATACAAAATGTTTATAATGATCAATGATCAAGGGTTCATACAAAAGAACATATTAAGAAAATAATACAAGAGTCGTGCCAGCACGAGTCGCATTATTTAACCGAGGAACAAAGAAACCAGTTATGTCGATTAGAAAATTTCCCGTGGATGACAATGAAGATGGAAGTACCACAAAACAGGAATTAGACCACCGGTCGTAAGCAACTAAATTCCTATTCGAAAGACATTTTGTGGCAAATCAAAAGAAATCGAGAGTGTTGTGTAGATTCGCAGTATCAATATCGCAGAAGGTGGCTTCCGTTGAATAAAAAGTTTACGGCTATTTTTTAATTAGTGTCAAGAATATTGACATTAGATAGTCATTGCAGGTTAGTTAGCGACACTGTGAGTTGGGATATGATCTTTGGAAGGCTCCTGGATGCCGAGCGAAAAAAAATGTTGGTCAGCCAGTGATAAATTTCTGGTGATACTCCAAGGAACGAACTAAGACGCGTTTACAAAAAAAAGAACGACATATCCTACAATTAAAGGAAAAATGTTAATTACTCGGCACATTGAGTTAGGTATATTTTATAAGTCTAGAGATATCATAAACATCTAGGAATGATAGTAACACTTAGTTATTTAGCCACCAAATTAAAACGAAAGAAAGCAAATGTTGCGTTGAAGCAGTTAAGAAAATACAAGTTAGGTATCTTATACAACTGAAAGCTAGAGGTCCGAAAATAAAATAACTTCCGCATCTACGACTATAAATATATCAAAAATCAAGGTATAATAAACAAAGGAAAACAAAACAATAGGGCGTGAAATACATTACAAAGATGTAAACAAAGCATCGGAGGGCGTGGGGAGGAAGTAGAAGGCACTTAAAATGTCAGTACAGCTTATCTCTTTGAGCCGCAAAGAAGCTCACCAGGTTCCCATATCTTCATTTCCTATCATATAAAACATCAAAAGGTATTCAGCGAACAATAAACTCACAAAACATTTCTTGCAGAAAATATTTCAACGTTTAAAGCGTACAAGTGATAATGCACGCTGCATAACCCATCAAGGTTCTGCTCTTTCAGAGAAATTATTTCCAGGAAGCGCATCAAAGCTGTTGACTGTTCATTAAAATCCATTTTATTTGATAACAAACAATAGTCTCCTTCAGTCAGTGAAAACATAAGATTCTACAACGTCTCTTAAAGACATTCGTAATGGGCTCTAAATCAAAATTAGAGCCCTCAAGTTGAACAATTCTCCGTTGAAACACTTTCACACTTCTAGTCAAGCAAAAAAAAGCAAAAAATATTGCAGGAAAGTCCGGGAGTATTCGAAGACTCGTTAAGTTTTTTTCTTTCTCACATCAGACAAACTTTAGACCATTTGCAGAACTTTTATGATCCCCTGACTGTTGCCTGCAACCAAGACGTTAGAACCTTTCCTCCAGCACACAGCCGACACGAAATCGGTTGAATCTTCTTCGCGCGCTTCAGGGTCGACTACAAAACGACGTTGGTCGAAACGGAAGGAAATCATTTTCTTCGGCAGATCTTTGTAGTAGACGTAAAGTGAATTATTCTCTGATCCACAAGCAACGTACTCGCCGTCTGTGGCAAGTCCGACGAAATTCTTATCATTTATATGACCTTGTAAAGATTGAACGCAGTTCGGCTTATCGACGTTCCAAACTTTGAGTTGGGAATCGGTCGAGGCTGAGACGATCTCATTACTCGAGATAAATTTTACGTAAGACACGGCCTTTTTGTGTCCCTTGAAGAGTCTCAGAGGCTCTTTCATCTTGCGTAGGTCGTAGTAGTGGACGCAGTGGTCTGCCGAACCAAAGGCAAGATGATAACGACTCTCGGGATTGAATTGCACGCAACAAACGTTAGCTTTGGCTTCGAGACTCGTAAGGGATCGCTCGCTGTCCAGGTGCCACAGCTTGACGCAAGCATCGTCGCTACCGGACGCCATGAGTTTAGTGTCCATTTTATTGAAGTCAACGCTCCAGCAGCGCTTCTGGTGCTCTTTGTACACATGTTGTTTCTGGGTGGTGAAGGCATCCCAAATGGTGACGTCCCCGTCGTAGTCACTACTAGCGAGCTTATTTTTCAGGTAAGAGCTCCAACTAACGCAACTGATTTTTGAGTCGCACACCATCTCGGAGCAAGGGTAGTGTATGTCGACGACGTCGCCAATGACATTTCTGTAATCAAACACGCGGATCTTTTTCGTGAGGCCTGCAACTGCGAAAAACTCTCCGTCCTTGTCGAACTCGATGCTCGAGGCGATGTTGCTGGAGGCGGGGAATTTGTCCCCGGCGTAGTCAATGGTGGCGAGGGTTCTAAGGCAACTGAATTTAGAAAATTTGCTCACGCAGTCACCGAACTTGTTTAGGTTCTCATGGAGGTCCGTGGACTTGATGTGATTTGAGGTCGAGGGGTCCGATAGCACGGGAATTCTATACGTAAAATAACTCTCAGTGAGCTCTTCAAAATTCAAGTGGACCTTTTTCTTCTTGGCTTCGAACGAGGTGCTACTCGCAGGTAGTTCACTGTTCACAGGAACGTTGAACCCCTCGATGAACTGGAAGTCAGGTTCCTCCACGTCAGTGCACGCAGAAGAACGCTGCTCTGTGTCCACGTCAGCCTCGCTGACGGCGCTCGGGACGCTAATATCAGCCTCGGGGTTCTCATTTTCAACCTTAACGTTGTGGCACGCGTTCCTCTTCAAAGAGCTTCTGATGGCATCCAAGTCTTGATTAACGATAGCGAGTTCATTGTTGATAGTAGCAAGTTGGAGTTCCTTTCTTCTTCTGAGTTCGGCGAGGAAAGTGTCAAGCAACTTGTATTTTATTTCGTCCGAGTCAGCAATAAGTTGATTCTTTTTCTCCTGTAGCACAGCTATCAACGAGCTCAGGTCCGACACTCGCATGAAGCCAGAGCTTTGACCGATGTAAGCTTCCAGCTCCGTGAGAAGAGACTTTCTGCTTTTCCTGCTCATTGTTTCGTTGAGTTCGAGCGATTCTTTGTACTTGAGCACTTGCTGGTTAACGAGGTGGTTAGGGAAGATATTCTCGGTGCTAAACACAGAGTAATTGCACTTTGGACACCTCTTGTTGTTGTCTATACTTTTCTCGAGACAAACCCGGCAGAAGGTGTGGCCGCAGCTGATAATGTGCGCTTCTTTCATGAGCTCCAGGCAAATTGGGCACAGGAAATCAGAGCAAATATCCTGGGCAGTACCACTAATGCCGTCCTGCACCACCGACAACGGCCGCTTCGTGCCCCTAGGAGGCATCATAAGGCGAGCCGAGGTGGCGTTCAACGGCCCCGTGAGCGAAGGAGACGCGAACGATGAAAGACTCGGGCCGCTGGAGCTGCTGGCACTGTTAGCAGCGGCCGCCGCAGCCGCTGCAAACCGCACATTGCGGCGCACGTTGTCTGGCATGCCGCTTACGTTCATCTTTAATTTTTTCTCACCCAGGTAGACACTTGATTTCACCGTCCCACGTGAGAAGAAAAACGTCGCAATGTATTTGCTCTCAAGAAGAATGAAAACCGCAGGAGGCTGATTGACGTCAAAATAATAATTTATACATGTCCATGAGAATGGAGGACTTCGTATGCAAGATACACGCACCAAACTCGCTGTCAACTGGCCAAAAAATTAGTGGTAAAAATATTACCACCAAAAAATCCCATTTATGCTCAACACAACTATCTAATGCAGAGATTTTTTAAATGAAAGCGTGATTGATATTTTCCGGTCAATGTATAAAATTCATGGAGAACTTGAACCTTGCAGGTAACTTTTCAGAATTGTTAATCTTAGGAGTTTTTCATACTTCTTAACATACACAGGACACTTGAAACTTTACAACATTGATGTAATATGACCAAGGAAGTTATTTTAACAGCAGTAAGAAAGGGAAACGTGTTGAGCAAAGGACGTTGGACGTTGATGATCAAGAATGCCTTTGAAGTTTTGCAGTGCCACAGCCCTGCCGAGTCGGTGATACCTGAAAGATAACGAGCTTCATGTACTTTGCTTAATGAGCAATATGAAGTTTCATAAATGCTGTGAGGGACCAAGTTAAAAGAAGACGTACAGCAAGTGCTGTTGCTGTTGTAATTATTGTGAATACCGTAGTTCTTTTTTGGTAAAGCACAAAATTTAGTTGAACTTATAAAATCAATTTTGTTCTTGGTCCATTGAGAAAAATTTTAAGGACTCTAGGATTATGGAGTTTATCCTTTAAATTCAATTGTGCGTATAAAATATATTCTCAACATCACAATGAATTCCATGCCTCCAAGAAACTCAAAAGATTGATCAATTTTATGGAAATGCACATTCAATAGAGCCTTTATGAATAAAACATTAACAAATTAATCCATCAGTAAGCAACCAGAGTAGGTGCTACCAATAGCCATTAATGCAGTTATCTTTCAGGTATCACTGGCTGACATTCAAAGGGCAGTGAAGATAGGGTATCTAAAATCTTTCAGAAATCACTGGCCTGCATTAATTGCTAAACATTTTTGCACATTTTCCTTCATAAGAATCACTTTTGCCAGACACAAAGCAAGAAAAAATTGCTGTTCTAGGTTTGAATTGGTAGAAATACATACGGTACATGTAATTTCCAGGGATAGTTGAGGATGATCTGTACTATCTTTAACAGATGATCAGTTTGTTGACAAGTAATGAGCAGTTCATTCAACTTTTTGTTTTTTACATTTCATTTGGTATTAGCTAAATAACAGTTGCATAATATTTAGAGAGCATAAGCACGGTATTAATGCAATGATTGTGACAAAGTAGTTGAATGGTTCAGTTAACTTAGAAGTCCTTCATAATACCTACCTACCATAAGTTATATGTAGGCCAATGAAAAAAAATATATAACTCAGTACTCACTGCAGTGAGTAACAGAGAGCGCATTTTCTCATCAACAAAAACTTGAGGTCACAGACAGACGGACGGACAGACAGACGGACAGACAGACAGACGGACAGACAGACAGACGAACATACAGACAGACAGATGGACATGGCGAGCACAATAGTGCATTTTTTCCATAAATGAGAAAATGCGCTAATAATAATTATGTAATCTTATAACTATGATTCAATGCATTTTCTTAATTGCTTCAAGAACGAAAAAAAAAACATTAAATAAATATTAAAAATCAACAACCTTGAGCAGCATTTATTTTTATTTTAAAAAATTAACAATTGAGCAGCATTTATTTAAACATATAATAGTTAAAATTAAAAGAATCAAATTGCAATTAATTCTGATTTTTAACAATGTAGGCAAATTTAATTTCAATTTCATACAAAGACATTGATAGAAAGAAATGAATCACTCACAATAAATCATAACACATCTGTTCTAGCACAACTAAATCTGAACAGTTCAGCAGAAAATCAATACATTTTAGATCAATTGTTGTTTGCATGATACCTTGGCATGCCTCAATTCTCATCCATAATTGGTTGAAATTAATGTTTATCTAAAAAAATACCTAAGTACTAGTCAAAATGCTAATTTAGTGATACTCACTACTCTAGAAGTGTAAGGAGTCTACCAGATGATGCTTGGTCTAAAGAAGCTGCTGCAGGAGTCAGTTCAGTAGAGCCTTTATTCTGGTAGACGCCAACAAGAAGACCAGCCTGTAAGAACATCACACAAATAATACAATAGACAAGCAAGACTTCATTGTGAAAAAAACTTCAAGTATGAGTTTAAACTTATAATGAGGCATATACTGATCATAGTTGCAGACTGATGATGAGCATTAGTGAAAATGCTATCAAACTAGGGGAGTCTTTAGAATTATACTCAAGGACCAAGATATGAGAAAAAAAATGGAGGGAAAAAAATTTAAAAATTAGTACAGAATAAAATATAAATGCAGCTGTGAGCCAAGAATTGCTAAAAACACATGCATCCTTTTAGTTTGAGGAACTTATCATGTTGGGCAGGCTGGACCTTAACATTAACATTTCTATGGGAAATCATCACCATTGCAGTGATAAATATCAGATTCAAAGAGGTCTTTGAATAATACACAAAACAAATCAAACCACAAACTACTAAGTAATATTAACCCTCTTGAGGGTAAGCATTGAAATATCCAGAAATTAAAATTTCCGAAACCAGTTCAAGAAAGTAAGAAGAATTATCCAAAACATTTATTTGTATGCATTTTGAAAATTTTGCATATTGGAGTTTTAAATCACACATTAGGAATTTATCATGTGTGCTCACTACATGAAATATTTTCTTTATAATTAAAACTTAGTTTATGCAGATGAATAAATTAGTAACATAAAAATTTAATTCAATTCAATTAAATCTCAAATTACAATAAATAAATAAATGTATGTTGATATTTTCACCTTTTAAAAAAATGCAGAAAAAGCATAAATTTCATCAACCAAAAAAAATTCATTTAAATGCTCGTATATAAATTTATGGGCATAGCAGGTGGTGATGCTATGGAGAAAATGATGGTTAGATAATTAGTGATTGACTAAGACATGATAAGAAAGTTTCAAATACAAAAAGGAAGCTATGGTGGGTCTATTTGCAAGGCCATTTCAAGTGATCATATATGGTAACTGGCCCATGAAAGGGTTAAAGAAAAATACCATAGTAAAAGCTACGCAGATAGTAATAAGCCACAGATAGCAATAAATAAATTGCCACAGAAATTGCCTAGATAGTTAAAAGGAATTCTCAACCAAATGATTTATTCTAATCACCTTTATAAACTGCTGTTAAAGCAAAAGTAATATACCCCTCATTTTCTTATTGGAATTCAAGATAAATTTTCCTTGAAACATCTGGATGATCATAATGTTGTTTTTTCTAATCTTTATAAGGCAATACATGGAGAAAATATTTGAAATGAGTCACATTAAGCTGCATCTTCATTGTAATACAAAATTCTGTGTTACATTTGCATCTTCAACACATTTTCATATTACTTCCAATGTGGAAATTGAGAACATACTTTCAAACAAGAAAACTGGTACCATAAAATGGGGTTACTTTGACCGGCGGGGCAACTTTGAACACTTTTCGTTTCTTTAACAAAAACCCCCAAAACTCAAAAACGATTCGACATAGAAAAATTTTGTCAATGGCGATAAAAGGCCTAATACTGAGGCTACGTAACACAATAGAAAGATTTAAAAAGTTTGCATATCTAATAGGTTAAAAAATTAAAAATGTGACCCACAAAAAAGAGCTATTATTTAAAGCCTGTCAGAGTACCCCCTCCAATTTTTTCTATTTTTTGGTAAAATAGCTCCAGGTTTTGATGCATTGTAGTAGAACTCTTCTAGTTACATATGCAAAAGACAAATTTTAGAAAAGTGTCATAGTTTGCAAATGGGGGGCACTGCCCCCCAATGGGGTAACTTTGACCACCTAATGGCAGCTGTGATGGGGTAACATTGACCGGCTTGGAAATCAAGTTAAAATTACCATAGGTATCTATATAACATATTTTATGTTTGATATACCTATTAATGTTTTTTTCTTTATGTTTCAGACTCTACAGAGTCTTATATATGGTAATTTTAAATTAATTTCCAAACCGGTCTATGTTACCACATCACGGCTGCCATTAGGTGGTCACATTTTGCCCATTTGGGGGCGGCGCCCCCCATTTGCAAACTATGACACTTTCCTAAAATCTGTCTTTTGTATATGTAACTAGAAGAGTTCTACTACAATGCACCACAACCTGGAGTTATTTGGAGTTATTTTAATGAAAAATAAAATTGATTTTACGACCTGGTCAAAGAAACCCCAAGAGCTGGGGTAACAAAGACCATCCCTTTTTTTTAAATTACATCAAAACTATGAGAGGCAGGAGCCAGCAATTTTTGGTGAGTAAAGCCAGAGTATAGACCTGTGTTTTGCATGTTTCAATTTAAGTTTAACTTGTCTAGTAAAAAAATGGCATCATTTTGAAAAAAAAAGTGGTCAAAGTTACCCCATTTTAAGGTACTTTGGTAGGTTAGTGAATGATGCACATTATAGTTGTGATAACTAGATCTAAGTTGGACTCTAGGGAACTTTTCATCATTTCAATTCAGCCAATTACTACCTACCGTAAAATGGGGTAACTTTGACCGTTTTTTTTTCCAAAATGATGCCATTTTTTTTACTAGATAAGTTAAACTTAAATTGAAACATGCAAAACACAGGTCTATACTCTAGCTTTACTCACCATAAATTGCTGGCTCCTGCCTCTCATAGTTTTGATGTAATTTCAAAAAAAGTGCTCTTTGTTACCCCAGCTCTTGGGGTTTCTTTGACTGGGTGGTAAAATCAATTTTATTTTTTGGTAAAATAACTCCAAATAACTCCAGGTTGTGATGCATTGTAGTAGAACTCTTCTAGTTACATATGCAAAAGACAAATTTCAGGAAAGTGTCATAGTTTGCAAATGGGGGGTGCCACCCCCCAATGGGAGAAATGTGACCACCTAATGGCAGCCTTGATGGGGTAACATTGACCGGTTTGGAAATCAAGTTAAAATTATCATATATAAGACTCTGTAGAGTGTGAAACATAAAGAAAAAAACATTAATAGGTGTATCAAACATAAAATATGTTATATAGGTACCTATGGTAATTTTAACTTAATTTCCAAGCCGGTCAATGTTACCCCGTCATGGCTGCCATTAGGTGGTCAAAGTTGGGCAGCGCCCCCCATTTGCAAACTATGACACTTTCCTAAAATTAGTCTTTTGCATATGTAACTAGAAGAGTTCTACTACAATGCATCAAAACCTGGAGTTATTTTACCAAAAAATAAAAAAATTGGAGGGGGTACTTTGACAGGCTTTAAATAATAGCTCTTTTTCATGGGTCACATTATTAATTTTTTAACCTATTAGATATGCAAACTTTTTAAATCTTTCTATTGTGTTACGTAGGCTCAGTATTAGGCCTTTGATGGCCATTGACAAAATTTTTCTATGACAAATCGTTTTTGAGTTTTGGGGGTTTTTGTTAAAAAATGAAAAGTGGTCAAAGTTACCCAACCGGTCAAAGTAACCCCATTTTATGGTAGGTACTCTTAACAACACATCTCCCAATAAATCATATTAATTAAATAATGATGCGTTTTTTGGACATACAGTGGGGGGAAATAAATATTCGTACACTTGAAAAATCGTATTTTAATGTAAGTACACAAACTTAACAGGAAAAGTGATTTAAATTATGTATAGAGACGTATAGTATTCAAAAATACTATCAAAAGAAATTAAATCTCAATGCAACAAAAAACAACACAACATGTTCACTTTTCGGGGTGAAAAAAGTATTCATACAAAACAATAAATCCGCATTATTTTAATTTAATACTTGGTTGAATACCCTTTATTCAGCTTAACAGACACCAGTCTATTTCTATACGTCTCGACCAATGATTTGCAGATGCTAACTGGTATTTTATACCATTCTTCTTGGCACACCACCTTAAGATTCTCAATGTTTGTTGGGGACCTTTTCTTAATTTGAATCTTCAAATACAGCCACAAATTTTCAATCGGATTTAAGTCCGGCAACTGGCTTGGCCATTCCATAACGTGTACATTTCTATCAGCGAACCATTTCTTTGTGGATCTTGCAGTATGCTTAGGATCGTTATCCTGCTGGAAAATCCAATCACCAGGTAGCTCTAGTTATCTGTTGAGCTGAATAAAGGGTATTCAACCAAGTATTAAATTAAAATAATGCGGATTTATTGTTTTGTACGAATACTTTTTTCACCCCGAAAATTGAAAATGTTGCATTGTTTTTTGTTGCATTGAGATTTAATTTCTTTCGATAGTATTTTTGAATACTATGCGTCTCTATACATAATTTAAATCACTTTTCCTGTTAAGTTTGTGTACTTACATACATTAAAATACGATTTTTCAAGTGTACGAATATTTATTTCCCCCACTGTACATAGCAAGCAAGCCTTACCTCAGATGATGATAGTCTTGATGAAATTGAGGTCAGAGATGCCCTGGCACAATTGGCCATTACAAGAGACAAAAATTTGCTACTGTACATCAAGCTCTAATTTAATTAAAACTCCTAATTCTGTGATACTTTTAGCCTATAAAAAACTAATGACAATTGATCACATTCAAATCATTTATAGTAATAATAACAAATGACATAACTTGATAGAAAAATGAAGCAAAATTGTATTCACATGGTCACTGATAAATATTAAATTGTACCAAAACAGGAATTATCTTAATAAAATTTAAATTCTTGTAAAATGAAAGACTAAGTGCTTGTTTCAAAAATCAAATTTATTGCAAAACAAATCATGATTCATGACCAAAGACAGATGAGAATTTCTTTAGTGACTCGATAAATGCTACAGGATAATGAATTATTCCTGAAGTAAAAAAGCAATAATAAACAATAATAATAAATAAGATTTTTATGTATAAACTTTGGTCCAGAGTTTGTTGATATGTATAATGTTACTTCCAAACTTTAAGAATTTCCACATCATCTGGATCAACAAGAAATGCAGAATAAAATTATGAACATTCATACCTTACCAATTTCTATAAAGGTAAAAATCAGTTAGAAATCTTGCAGGCAAAGATATGTTAGCTCCGTATCTGTCCGCATTCATAACTCAGAGTAATGCAGTCATCAGAGAGCTTTTTTATTCTTTGGACATCAAGTAACAGAAATAAATTCAATATTTCTGAGTATCTCAGTCCAATACTATGATTATCTTTACAGAAAGTCTTCTTGAAAGCAAAAATGAGCTGGATTTACAGAAGTCAATAAATTATTATCATTATAAGGAGTATATAACTAGTATAACTATAGAGTTTATACAATAATTATATTGAATTCCTTCTACAACAATAATTACTACATTATTATTCTATTCATTGTTTGATAGGTCAAATTTTGCTAAACAAATCAAATTGATTGTCTTTATTTGTGTGTCACACCTGGATTGATGTGATGTTAATTCCTCTAAATCCAAGTTCTGAATGAATGCATATACATGTTATCAAGGCACAGCCAACATTCATTTTTGTAAAAGCTGATGGTAATGATTGAAATTGAGTCAACAACAACCTTGTGTGAGCTCCCGTTGCTTGTCAAAAATAGTATAGTTTTAGGGAATCTTTGTCCTTTAAATTTAAGAGTTCATTGCAATCTTAAGCCATTACCATAATTAGCCTTAAAACTATTTTCGTTCATTTTAATACGTAATAGTCAAATAGCTTGGCACCCATTCTAGCAACTTTGTGTGATACCGTCAACTGGGGCTACTCGGGACAATTTCTAACATCTAACGGAACTGCATGGGTTCATTGGCTGCGGGGCAATCAAGTCATGAGGTGGTTGGCTTCTTATCTGACCATTTGCATTCTCCCAGCCCAGTCAGGCTATACCAGCCTACATTATGATTCACTTTTTGAGATAAATGAAAAAAATTAGCCACAATTAACTGTGTTTCAATGCCATCTTTGACCCCATGCACATAGTTTTTGTTATTTGCTAGCACAGATTTCATGTGTACACTGTGCAGTTTAGTGTGTGAGCTCTCCCATAGTGGATTTGGTAATGGATAATGGATGAAATTGACCACAACACAAGGCACAGGCATTTTTAGAATAGAACACCAGGGTGCAGAAGGTGGATGCAGCGTCGCCAATATATGGGTTTTTAAGCCCTAAGCGTTGCTGGGTAATTTTAAGATGCGTCGCTGGGTAATTTTTAATGAAAAGCCATTTACGCTGAGGCCCATGGCCTGTTGCTGATTCTCGAATTTTTTGTGACTTGATTCACAAGGGATCTGGCCTTTGGAACCCAATCTTTTCATAACTGATGATTGATTGAGATCGCTGCTGGACTTATTGCCTGCTCTGTAATTTGCTAGGCATTTTAAGACTGAACATATGCTCCTGCATAGCTTCGTCTAGTCTGTTCTTGAAGGCGTTCATACTCGGAGCATCAACGATGCTATCAGGGAGGCTGTTCCACATGTCGGTGACTCAAAGCGAGAAAAAATGTTGTCGCATGGATGTGTTACAACGCAGTTTTTTAGTTTATAGCTGTGGCCCCTGGTGTTAGTTCTTGTTTCAAATTCTAGTAATCCTTCTGGGACCTTGTATAAGCCATGAGTATACTTGTATGCTTCAGTGAGTTCCCCATGCAGAGGTCAATAACTGAGGCTTGGAAGCTTCATAATCTTTAATCTTTCCTCATAGGACTTGCCTTTCAAGCCCGGAATTATCCTTGTTGCTCGTCTTTGAACACTCTTTATTAAATTTTTGTCCTTTTCAAATCACCAACTTATTTACAAGGTTGCATGCACGTGTTACCCCAAATAACTAAATTTACCCTAAAAACAGTCTGATTGTACAGCAAGTGTCAACTGAACATGTGATAATGCAGTCTGACCGCTCTAATGTGACTGCAACTACGTAATCGTAAGCTCGATGTTTACATTTTTTTGGCGGGAACTCATCGCATCTGATTTCCGGACAAGCTTCACTGCATCCTGATCCATCCAACATATCAGGAACCTTACTTTTTTTCAATAGTTGGCCAAAGACTGACAAATATATTAATTGCAAGAATTTCAATCTAAATGTGTCAGCAAGATCTTGCAATATTCAACCATTCTCTGCAGTGGAATAGAACAGAATTGTTGGCACTGAAGAAACAGGCCCATAGGCCAAGCGTGGAAAACATCTACCTTTAGGGCCACAACTAGAGCTTTCCTGCCATTTCTGGAACCACAAAATTTCTGCCAGATGAATTACCTCCATTCTAATTGTTAACAAAAATGCAAGATCGTGCCATGAGATTAAAAATGTATTTAAAATTCGTCATGTTGGAGCACAAAATTTCAGAAATAAGTAGGAAAATTCCAATCCTGTCTAAGTGATCCAACTTGGAATTAAGCATTTATTTAAGTATTTGTCATTTACTTATCATTCATGTATTTTTATTTTCTTTATCGTTTGTATACTATCAAAATGGACTTTATTCTGTTTAATTCTCCTTTTTGGTTAATTTATACCATTCATTTCTATCAGTCACATCACTCACATCATCAGTCGTATGACTGACATCTGACATGAGTAGGCTCTGAGCCTCTGACTCGCATCTCACACCTGCTTTTCCCACCCTCTTGCTGTCTTGCTGAGTCTTGCAGTCAAGTCTCAACCAAAATGTTTTATTTTAGTTAAAATAGATAGTCTAGTTAGCCCACAGGCCACAACTACAAGTACAACAAGAGCTTTCTAATGGTACTTAAATCTTTGAAATTTGCTAATAGGAAACCTTGATTATAGATATGATAGTTTTCCAAAAAAAAATGGCAAAAATTGCTCCATTTTGGAGACATAATTAAAGGCAAAAATTCATACCTTTTTACTTCTACTTGTATCAGTGTGGAATTCTAGAGGGATATTAAATTAACCAGTACACATAGCATATTGGAAAGCTCAAAGCAGGACCTGAAAGCTTGGAAAGGCCACGAACTTTCCCACTTTCAGTCCATCATATCATATACATAACCTATCACTTTCCAGCTGTGATTGGTTGATTGGATTGTGATTTTAGCCCCTTCCAGCTTTCCAGCTGTGATTGGTTAATGGAATTGTAATGTTAGTACCGTAAAATGGGGTAACTTAGACCACTTTTTTTTATAAATGATGCCATTTTTTTACTAGCTAAATTGAACTTGAATTGAAACATGCAAAATACAGGTCTATACTCTAGCTTTACTCACCATAAATTGCTGGCTCCTGCCTCTCATAGTCTTTTTGTAATTTCAAAAAAAGTGATGGTCTTTGTTACCCCAGCTCTTGGGGTAACTTAGACCGGGTGGTAAAATCAATTATATTTTTTGGTAAAATAACTCCAAATAACTCCAGGTTTTGGTGCATTGTAGTAAAACTCTTCTAGTTACATATGCAAATGACAAAC